TTTGCTCTCCATTTGCTTCGTAAATCTTCCTGCATCCCTTTATTTTGAGCCTTTGTGTATCCGTGCATGTTAATGGGTTTCCTGGATACAGCGCACTGATGGGTTTTGGATTTTTATCCAATTTGCCAGTCTGTGTCTTTTGATTAGTGCATTTAGTCCATTTACATTTAGGGTTAATATTGTTATGTGTAAATTTGATACTGCCATTTTGATGCTATCTGGCTGTTTTGCCCGCTAGTTGATGTAGATTCTTCATTATGTTGATGCTCTTTAGCATTTAGTGTGATTTTGGAATCGCTTGTACTGGTTGTTTTATTCTATGTGTAGTGCCTCTTTCAGGAGCTCTTGTAAAGCAGGCCTGGTGGTGACAAAATCTCTGAGTACTTGCTTGTTTGCATAGGATTTTATTTTTCCTTCACTTCTGAAGCTCCGTTTGGCTGGATGTGTAATTCTGGGTTGAAAGTTCTTTTCTTTAAGGATGTTGAATATTGGCCCCCACTCTCTTCTGGCTTGTAGTGTTTCTGCCAAGAGATCTGCTGTGAGTCTGATGGGCTTCCCTTTGTGGGTGACTCGACCTTTCTATCTGGGTGCCCTTAGTATTTTCTTCTTTATTTCAACCTTGTTGAATCTGACTATTATGTGCCTTGGGGTTGCTCTTCTTGGGGAATATCTTTGTGGTGTTCTCTGTATTTCCTGCATTTGAGTGTTGGCCTGCCTTGCTAGGTGGGGAAAATTTTTCTGGGTAATGTCCTGAAGAGTATTTCCCAGCTTGGATTCATTCTCTTCGTCACATTCTTGTACACCCATCAAACGTAGGTTAGGTCTCTTCACATAGTCCCACATTTCTTGGAGACTTTGTTCATTCCTTTTTGCCCTTTTTTCTCTGATCTTGGTTTCTCATTTTATTTCATTGAGTTGATCTTCGACTTCTGATATTCTTTCTTCTGCTTGGTGTATTCGGCTATGGAAATTTGTGCATGCTTCTTGAAGTTCTCATATTGTGTTTTTCAGCTTTTTTAATTCATTCATATTCCTCTCTAAGTTATCCATTCTTGTTATCATTTCCTCGAATCTTTTTTCAAATCTTTTTTCAAGGTTCTTAGTTTCTTTGAATTGATTTAAAACATGTTCTTTTAGCTCACAAAAGTTTCTCATTATCCACCTACTGAAGTCTAATTCCGTCATTTCGTCACAGTCATTCTCTGTCCAGCTTTGTTCCCTTGCTGGTGAGGAGTTTTGGTCCTTTCTAGGAGGTGAGTTGTTCTGGTTTCAGGTGTTTTCCTTCTTTTTGCACTGGTTTCTTCCCATCTTTGTGGATTTATCCACCTGTCATCTGATTAGTTGCTGACTTTTCTATTGGGTCTCTGAGTGGACGCCCAGATTGTTGGTGATGAAGTATTTCTGTTACTTGGTTTTCCTTCTACCAGTCTAGCCCCTTCACTGTATGACTGCTGAGGTCCACTCCAGGCCCTGCTTGTCTGGGGTGCACCCATAGCAGCTGCGGAACAGTGAGGGATGCTACCAGTTTCTTTTTCTGCTATTTTTGTCCCAGAATGATGCCTTCCAAATGTCAGTCTTTTGGATATAGAGGGGTCAGGGAGCTGCTTGAGGAGACAGTCTCTACGTTATAGGAGCTCAAGTGCTGAGCTGTGAGCTCTGTTGTTCATTCAGGTCTGTTAGGCTGCTACGTTTAATTCTGCTGCAACAGAACTCATTTAAAAAAACCCTTTTTTTCTCAGATGCTCTGTCTCGGGGGGGTTGGGGCTTTCTTTGCGTCTGTTGTGCTGTCCTGCCCAGCTAGGAGGCAGTCTAGTCACTATTTGCCTGCCGAGGCTCCGCCCTGCTGGTGTGAGGTTCGCCCTGTTGCTGCAGGCTCTGCCCTGCTGCTGCGGTCTCCGCCCTGCTGCCACAGGCTATGCCCTGCTGCAGAGTCTCTCTGTTGTAGCAGGTTGCCTCAGCAATGGCAGGCTGTATCAGCAATGGGCGTGTACCTCAGTAGGAGCGGATTGCCTTGGTAATGGTGGACGCCCCTCCCACTCGGAGCTGCACCATCCTGGGTTCAGCTGTGCTCTCAGGGAACCTCTCCACCCGGGGTGTTTGGAATCGACGTTTTGTCTTTCCCACTGCGCTACCCGAAACGCTGCTTCCCTGGAATCTCTTGGCCTGGCTCACTGTCCAAGTTCCGTTCAGTCTTAAGTTCAGCCTTCTCAAGTCTCATATTGCTGGTTCAATAGGGCACCCGAACCAGTGCGCTTTGTGCGGAGCACTGTGTAGCACCGCTGCGCTACAGCATCGGCTGCCGGCTGCACCAGCCACTGGCTGCACCCGCCAAAACCTCTGCCTGGCATCCCGCGTCTCTTTTATACCTGGGAATTTCCCCGTTCTGTGGGCAACAAAGATCCGTGTGGAAATGCGGCCCTGAGTCACTCTCTCCACGCATTCACGGAGAGCTTCAATCCTGGGTTGTTCTCACCGCGCCATCTTGAGTCCCCCCTCCTAAATATTTTTTTATGTTGACATTGGAGAATCTGATGGCTATGTGTCTTGGAGATGGTTATCTTGTATAGCACATTGCAGGGATTCTCTGCAGTTTCTGAATTTGACTGTTGACCTCACCAGTGGTGAATTTTTTGTAGACAATATCCTCAAATATGCTTTCCATGTTACTTGCTTACTCTGTGTCTTTCAGGGATGCCAATGAAACATAGTTTGAGTCATAGGTCTTTTAATATAGTCCCAGATTTCTCAAGATATTTTATTCATTCTTTTTTAACCTTTGTTCCTATTTCTGAGTTTCAAACAACTGGTCTTGGACCTCTGAAATCCTTTCCTGAACTTTATTCTGCTATTAATAAATCTGATATGAAATTCTTGCAGTGAGTTTTTCAGCTGTAGTGGATTCATTTGCTTCTGTCTTAAAATGGTCTTTCAGCTCATATTGTTTTATTAGATTCCTTCCACTCCCTGGATTAGGTTTTGACTTTCTCTTGAATCCCAATGATTTTTGTTCCTATCTAGATTCTGAATTCTGTATCTGTCACTTCAGCCATTTCAGCCTGGTTAAGAACTAGGTTACTAATGTGGTAGTTTGGAGGTAGGGATACATTCTGGCTTTTTAAGTTGCCAGAGTTCTTGTGCTGTTTCTTTCTCACCTGTGTATGCTGATGTTCCTTTCATCTTTTGAAGTTGCTGTCCTTTTGATAGGGTTTTTTGCTTTTATCTTTTTTTTTAGACAAAGTTTTGCTCTGTCACCCAGGCTGGAGTGTGGTGGCATAATCTCAGCTCACTGCAACCTTCACCTCCCGGGTTCAAGTGATTCTGATTCTCTTGCCTCAGCCTCCTGAGTAGCTGGGATTATAGGTGCCTGCCACCACACCTGCCTGTTTTGTATTTTTAGTAGAGACGAGTTTCACCATGTTGTTCAGGCTGGTCTTGAACCCCTGACCTCATGATTCACCGCCTTGACCTGCCAAAGCACTGGGATTACAGGCATGAGCCACGACGTCCAGCCTGCTTTTATCTTCTTTGATGCCCTTCAGGGTTTAACTGTGATATAAGTGGCAGCACAGTAGGGTGTGTGTGTGTCAGTAGAGGTGGGGTATGGCTGGGAGCATGATGGTGAGGACTGCCCATGGGTGCCAGCAAAGTGGTACAGGGAGGTTGTAGTGGGAGGAGGCTGTGGGTGGGTGTGTTCACACCAGTATGGTCTGCCTATAATCATAAAGCTATGTTGGCAGGCACTGGCGAGCACTCTGGTTGGGCATCTGTGGCTGTACTGCAAGTGGGCATGGCCAGGCAGGAACTCCCAGAGAGGCCAGCAGATTAAGGGAGCAAGGGCACTCAGGTAGACTGGCCTTGTCCCAAGGGCAACACCATCCTACTCTGTCCAGGTCTGATAGTTGACAAAGGCCAAAGTCACCCAGAGGAGCTGTGATGAGCCCTAGGGGATGGGTGTCCTTGGCTGTGCTCTGTTGTAGCCATTCCTGTGCCAAACTCTCTTGGTTCTGCACAGGCTGGAGTCCTTTCCCTGCCACCCCTCCAAACTCTCCCTGTCAGCTTAAATGTGTGGAGGCTGTGGGGTTTCCTGCAGCTAGGATTCCAGAGGTCCATTGTAAGAGTGGGTCACTCGTCTGTTTAACTCACCCCTTCCCCAGGAGCCACTGGGGACCAGGAACAAATCCTAGTGCTTACCTGCATGGGGCAATGTTTCTAGCTTCCTTCCCCTTAAGCCCATTGTATTTTCCCTGTCCATTCTCAACACCTTCTAAAGATCTGCTGTGTGCGCCAGTTTTCTTGATGGTCTGGTCTCTTGGTGAGAGATGCTTTTCCTGGCTGCATCTAGTCAATCATCTTGGCTCCCTCCCCGACTCTTTCAGATTTGTACTGATCTTCAATGCTCTAGTTTTCCCCTTTGTTCCCCCTTCCTGGTTCTGGAGTGTATTGGTATCTTCCCTACACATCTCCCAATTCTTGTAGGTAACAGGGTGACAGAGCAAAGGCAAAGGAGTGGTGGAGAGTAACTGAGCAGTGGACAGGTAGGCACAGAAGACAAAAGCCCGGTGAGATCCTCCAACATTTGCTTCTGATGAGGGCCTGAGGCTGCTTCCACTCATGGTGGAAGGAAAGCTGGTGTGTAGAGATCACATGGCAAGAAAAAGCAAAAGACGGGGGAAGTGCCAGGCTCTTTTAAACAACCAGCTGTCATTGTTGGTAACTGGGAACAATTAACTTGTCCTTGGGAACTGAGCAAGAACTCACTTCTCCTACCACTGTAAGGCATTCACCTATCCATCAGGGACCCACCTCCCTGACCCAAACACCTCCCATTAGGCCCCACCTCCAACACTGCGGATCCAGTTTCAACATGAGATTTGGAAGGACAAACGTTCAAATTATGGCACATTCCTAAGCAGAAGTATGTACCTATATGCACAAAAATTCATGTACTAGAATATCTGGATAAGTACTTGTTTCCAAATGGTAAATGAACCAAACAGCCGTCAGATAAATAGTATGTGGTTTATTCACATGATGGAATATTATACAACCATGAGAATGAAAAACCATGTACAAATACATGCAACAAAAATCTCACAGACATAATACTGGGGGAAAGAAACCAGATACAAAGAATGCATAACGCTTAATTCCATTCATGTACCACCCCAACCAGATAGAACTAATCTATGCTCTTAGAACTCAGGATAGTGGTTTCCCTTGGAGAGGTAGTTAGTTAACATCAGAAGGGAATCTGATGGGGGACTTCTGGGGTGCTGATTGTATGCACGTGTTCCATTTGTGAAAAATCACTGATGTGTTTCTATAGTTATACTTTAATAAAAAGTTAAACAAAATTATTTGCCTCTGGATACTCGACTGAAAACTGAAAAAAAGTCTCCTCTGGCAGCCTCTCACCTTGGCTACACTCTTACATTCGCATTCTCAGCTCCTGCCACTTGCAAATGGTGAGGGTGGGAAGAGAACCCTTCTCCCTATCATGCAGACTAAACTAGAATTGCTACAGGTCAGGCTGCTAAAAGAGGTCTACCAAACTGAAATTCAGGTCTTATCTTTGCTTCCTGCCAATGCACTCCAGTGCTCTCTTGCTCTCTATATCCCTCTCTCTCAACAAAGCCCCTTACTCAGAAATAAACACTCCTCCCAGGGAACATCTAAGTAACAAAAAGGATGGGGCTCTAATAGTTAACATTTCAAACTGCAGGTGGTGGATGGGTGAGGAGTCATCTGGGCTGACACCCTTGGAGGTATATAACAAGCACTTGGAGGGCAGGCCCAACTTGGGGAGTGGGTGTGAAAATCCTGGCTCTCTTTTGGGCAAGTCTGTACCCTCTATGACTCAGTTTCCTCATCTTTAAAATGGGGATAATGGTGCTCACTGAAATGTTATAACAATCACAATAAATTACCGCAGGTGAAGCATTTAGCAAAGTGACTGACTTAGGTAGGAGGCTAATAAACATTAGCTGTCAGCTCAGCTTTGTCTTTAGTACGCTGTCCCCAAGAAAGCACAACCCAGGAGAAGTCTAAGGAGCAGGAGACTTTAGGGCTTGCTCAAAAGTCTCCACAGCCAAACTGTGCAGATGTCCTGCACTTCCTCAATATTGTGGTTAAGGGTAGGCATTAAGCAGTGGGGTGGCTTTAGGCCTACATGGGGACAGAGGACAAACTGGGAAGCAGAAGAGGGAGAAGTACTGACAGTGCCCTGGGCTCCAGTACCATATGTATGTGCTAAATATCATTACATAAGTGTAGCAGGCTTTGCACCAGTTGCCTTCAAAGAATTAGGAATGTCGCTCAGAGGGTGGGGAATGAAAACACTTAAGTGGGTAGTGTTTGACATACCAGCAACTAGGGAGGTCCTAACATCACACACTTATACTTCCTATTTGACCAACAGGCCATCAAGTACCACAGGCATTTTGGTATAACTTCTGTTATTGGGGCCTGGTCCCTGGATTTGGCCTCTATTTTGCAAACCTAGAAACCCCGTGTGGTAACTAGCTAGAGATAACCCAAATGCACAAGGCCTGAGGTAGACAACAGAAAGTCAGTTTTTCAACAAAAACCATGTCTGGTAGCTAGACTATTCACACTGGCATTTTTGCCCTGCAGTCAGACCTATACAAGTGGCCAAACCTTCACCACAGTGATACTTGAAGAGTACTTGAATACAAATCAAAATGACATAATGGCACTAAGCTAAAAGGCTGAAGAAGAAATTCCCGAGAGTTAACAGAACTGGAAACCCGGCCATCTCATGGCTGAGCATGGTTTGTCTGCTTTTCTATGATGCTGATCAATATACTCCCAACTCTACACTTATCCTCTATTAACATGTGAAGTCAGACAGTGGTCATGCTCCCTCAATTTCCAAGTGTGGGTGGGGGAGCAGGCTGCAAAACTCACTGTACTGGCAATCTTCCTTTAAGTCATTACAAGAATGCAGTAACATAAGCAAGAGTCTCCACCCAATGTTTTCTCTGGCTGAAGGTCAATTTCTTTGGACAGTCACCCTGGACCCAGAGCGCCTTGTTGGGTACTGAAGGAACAGGAGGGCCAAGCTCAATGGTGCAGTGACTCTGCAGAGGTTGTCACTCTCGCATGCTTGCAATACTTTCCACAGGTTAGAACATGGCTCCTCAGATGTGGTTAAAAACTGCCAGCTGCTCTCCCTCAACACAAGCCATTAGTGCTTTCTCAAGTATATTCTAGGCCCTTGGTTACATCACAATCCAGCCGTGTTCCCAGATCAATCATTGCAATCTCCAATTCCATCATTCCCACCAATAGCTGATTAGACCTTCATTTCTAATTCCATTATCAGAGGATAAACTGCATGGCAGGTCTGGGAGTGCCCCACTTCACCAAGCCTGCTGCAACAGGTGCTCTTCCTGGCCCAACGGTCAACAGCCACACCCCCCGACCCCCCATAATTGTTACCATAAGTCCTGCATAGAAAACCAAACACTTAGACTGCAGTGTGTGTCAAGGAAGAGTCCTACCAGCTCCCTTCCACCTTGGTGATCGGAGACAATAGGCAGGGGATACCTTTAGTCCTTTTCCTAATAATTAAGTCAATGTCCAGAAACTTAATTGTAGCAAGGAGACACAGGGACGGGGGTGGGGTTGAGGGTGGTGATGAAAGAACTGATAAGGCAACAGACAGGCAAAGCTCAAGGAGGAAGGTGGACACCTGACCATAGTGCCTGCAGGTGTGGCTACAGGGAGCCTCCCCCATGCCAATGACAGTGGCCTCAGTACCCAGAGCACCTTCTCAGATCTGATCTCACTCTCTGCTCCTTTCTGTTCACTGAAGGTTTTAGGAACTCTACCTTTCTGTTCTCTCTGCTTTGTATTACTGTTGGCTACTCTATCCTTTGGAGGATTCTTCTCTCCCCCAAATCACCCAGGGAGTGGAACAGGCTGAAAGAGGCTAAAAGTACATGTATTATTACCTGCTAATTAAGACCAGTAAATGTAAATAGAGGAAATAATGATGATGCTTTTCTTGTACCTACCAAACTATCAATATACTTCCTGGCACTGCCCTAGAATAAAAATGAACCTGAATATGTAAAAGGAAGATTCCTTTTCCTCACCTCCCTGACATCATTTACTAACCCTTCCTAGCTAATGGCAGCCACCAGTCAGATGCAGTATTATGTATTTCCCAAATGACTTAAGGCAAAAAGACTTATTTTTGTAAACTGGTAACAGTTTGGAGATTGACAGACTGCAGAAGGAACTGAAATGAGGAAACCCATGTTTTCTTTTTTTTTTGGCCTGAAATTCAATGTATAATTATTACAAATTGCACTTACATGTCCTCATAAGGCTAAGTATGGGGGCTGGTGGAGCAGCTTTCACTCTGCCTGCTTTTCACACAGGGAAACTGAGGCACAGGAAGCTTCTTTGACTTGCTCAGGGTTGTACCACTGGTGGCTAAATTTTTCACAAAATATAGTGTGGAAACCCATGTTTTCTTGCTAAAAAGTTTGCAACACCATGAACAGTTAATAGATGTAAACTAATGAAGACACTCTGTTTTTAAAACAAGTACTGTGAATTACTACAGAAAGTAATGTTTTTGTAAACCATGACTTAATAATTTAAAAAAGAATGCTCAATTACTCTGCTTCATTCTTGAAGTTTTTCACTATATCTACATCTAAAAACTGGCAAGTCTTCCAAATGGTGGTGTAAAGTAAGGACAACAGTTCACATAGAGACCAGTTTTGGAAAAGCAGTCAATTACACAAGTGACAATTTTAACAATGGTTCCTATAGTGCAAAGTGCTGAGGTTGTAACAGAGGAACAGGTTTTGCTTATTTCTGGGTTGAAGTGGGTACACAGCATCAGTTGGTGAGAATATTCCTACAGCAGTTCCATGCACAAATTTGGAAAAAATGTGCCACATGTTTACATGAAAGGGATTTTCACTAAATCTTGAGAAAAATAACTATGGCACCATTGTTCAACGAAGAAAGGTAAATGTGTCTAATCACAATCTTGATAACTGGAAACATTAATTGCTATGGTAACAAATCTCAAAAGAAAACCCCAAAATTCCAAAATTCTATGCTGCCACTTAAAATGTTCTAACCAGCTCCTGAATTGCAGTATGTTAATGATTATTTCAAAATGTAACAAATTGCTAAAATTTTTGCTAACTTTTATGAACGTCTGAAATTGAGTTTTAAACTAGTAACTTTAGCAATACATATTGAACACTTATATTCAACTGTACAGAATGCAATCCATTAAATCTTGAAAAATGTTATGTAATAAAATGATAGAAATGAGCACACTATGAAAATGCTCTCTGACCAATTCTACAACTGCAATAAATTTAATACTGTAAACACACACGGGACAAATCTGAGCACTGTGGAAAGAGTTTAGTTGCTTTAACAAATCATATTATAATTTTTATGAGCTAAGATTGTAGAGGCAAATGGAATTCTTAGAATGTTACTTAAAAATAGATTTTTAACGACAGAGGTTCCGACTCATTCTTATATACACATGCAAAAGTTCATCTGTCACAGACAGAAAATGTTGAATTTCTACACTGGAGTTTCTGGAAGCATCCTGCACATTCAGAATTAAAATCAACAGAGAAATGTCAAATATATTGAGATGGGTTGTTCAAATTTGTGCAGGACAGAACATAGCCACTCAGGGACTACTACATACATGTTCATTGCTGCTTCTCAAAGGCAAACACCAAGTAAATACCTAAAGAGGAAATAAATAAGAGTTTAGTTTATCATATGATTACAGTAAACAAAACAATCTCTGTCTTGTTCATAATTTGGTGAAAATTCTTAGGCTCTCAAGCAGCTTCTGAAGAGAAAAATCCCTGTTAATTCTAAGAGTTCCTCTATTACTTGAATAATTTTTAGGCAGACATGGGATGTATATGTTTACTCAAAAACAATTATCTGCCTACAATAATACTCTACGACATTGTAGCCTATGGGAAAACCAGTTCAATAGCTCTAAAAAATCAGTTTAAGGTAAGAAAAATAAAAGTATAACTAGATTAAAAGTATAATAAAATTATAACAAAGAAAAACAGAATTAAAAATATTAAAGATACTTTAGAAAACTAGAATTAAAGGTCCATACATAAAATGACATGTTAACAATTCACCTAATTATCCAATTACTGTGTTGTAGGGCCTTGTGAAGAAAGTGAACTGAAAGCTCTTAAGATAATAAAAGTTCTTTTTTTTTTTTTTTGAGACGGAGTTTCACTCTTGTTCCCCAGGCTGGAGTGCAATGGTGCGATCTCGGCTCACCGCAACCTCCGCCTCCTGGGTTCATGCAATTCTACTGCCTCAGCCTCCAGAGTAGCTGGGATTACAGGCACGCGCCACCATGCCCAGCTAATTTTTTGTATTTTTAGTAGAGACGGGGTTTCACCATATTGACCAGGATGGTCTCGATCTCTTGACCTCGTGATCCACCCGCCTCGGTCTCCCAAAGTGCTGGGATTACAGGCATGAGCCACCGCGCCCAGTGTTTAATAATAAAGTTTAAGAACTTTATTATAAAAGTTCTTAAAATAAAAGTGCTACTCCAGTGAACACACTGGAATAAGAAAACAGCCTTCCTACTGATTTTCACAAAAAGTTTGAGTGGTCTGCAAAGATGATGAACCAGCTACAACATTCCCTTTATCCAAAGCCTAATTCAGAGGCCCTAACTCTCTTCAATTCTATGAAGGATGAGAGAGATGAGCAAACTATAAGGAAAGTCTGAAGTCAGAAGTTGGTTCATGAGGTTTAAGGAAGGCAGCCACCTTCATAATGTAAACGTGCAAGATGATGCAGCTAGTGCTGATGTAGAAGCTGCAGCAAGTTATGCAGAAGATCCTGCTAAGATCCTCAAGGAAGGTGGCTACACTAAAGATCTTCAATGCAGATGAGACAGCTTTCTATTAGAAGATGCCATCTACGACTTTCATAGGTAGAGAGAAGTCAGTATCTGGTTTCAAAGCTTCAAAAGACAGGGTGACTATCCTATTAGAGGCTAATGCTGCTGGTGACTTTAAGGTGAAGCCAATGCTCATTTATCCTTCCAAAAATCCTGAGGCCCTTAAGAATTATGCAAAATCTGCTCTGCTCATGTTCTATAAATGGAAAAAGCCTGGATGACAGCCTGTCTGTTCACATCACAGTTTACTGAGTACTTTAAGCCTACTGTTGAGACCTATTGCTGAGAAAAATAAAGTTCTTTTCAAAATATTACTGTTCATTGGCAATGTGCCTGTTCACCCAGGAGGACAGATGAAGATATGTTGGGATTCACTTGGGGTGGCTTGCAAAATATTAGGGAAATATTAGGGAAAGTTATAGATTATATTGGAACTTTAAGTCATAGAGTAAAAGATTACGGACAATAAAAGATTCCCCAGTTAAAGTCTGTTTACCCCACATCCCTTTGTCTCTAATTTGTTTACTCACGTAAACCTTGTGCTGGATGGCAGTCTCAGGGGCAGGTTGAAGGGGAATTACCTATTGATAGCGTTTACTCTGGGTCCAGTAACCAAGACCTTTTATCATTTGTAAAACCATTCTTTTAATCATGTTAATTAGCCACAAGCATGTTGACTTAGAACCTCTGTTACTAAAACTATACTGAATAAATATAAGCAAGGACAGGGAGTCATGCGGTTAGCTGTAATCGCCCTCTGAAAGCAGTTGACAACCATGAGTCAGGATCTGCAGGACAGACCTCTGCAGGTGGTGATCAATGGCTCAAAGACGTACAAGGAGATTAATGTTACTTTCATGCCTGCTAATACAACATCCATTCTGCAGCCCATGGATCAAGGAGTGATTTTTATTCTTAAGTCTTATTATTTAAGAAATACATTTTGTAAGGCTATAGCTGCCATAGATAGTGATTTCTCTGATGGATCTGAAGTAATTAAAAACCTGACAGAAAGGATTCACCATTCTAGATACCATTAAGAATGCTCATGCTGGTCGCTCTCCAATGCCAGTGCTGCCTCTCACTCACCAAGCTCCAGCTGAAGGAGGGTAAGTAAAGAGGTCTCTATACCATGGCTCGTACAAAGCTGACTGCCCACAAATCTACCAGTGGTAAAGCAGCCAGGAACCAATGGCTACAAAAGCCGCTCACAAGAGTGCACCCTCTACTGGAGGGGTGAAGAAACCTCATCGTTACAGGCCTGGTACTGCGGCACTCTGTGAAATTAGATGTTATCAGAAGTCCACTGAACTTCTGATTTGCAAACTTCCCTTCCAGCATCTGGTGCAAAAAATTGCTCAGGACTTTAAAACAGATCTGTGCTTCCAGAGCACAGCTGTCAGTGCTTTGCAGGAGGCAAGTGAGGCCTATCTCATTGGCGTTTTTGAAGACACCAACCTTTGTGCTATCCATGCCAAACACGTAACAATTATGCCAAGACATCCAGCTAGCACACCGCATATGTGGAGAACGTGCTTAAGAATCCACTATGATGGGAAATATTTCATTCTCAGGAAAAAAAAAAAATTCTCTTCTTCCTGTTATTTGTAGTTCTGAACATTAGATAATTTTTTCCCCATGGGGTCAAAAGGTACCTAAGAATACATGATTGTGACTGGAAAAACAGGGGACAGAAATCAGGTATTGACGGGTTTTTGCATTTTCATTTGTGCGTGAATTTTTAATATAAATAAGGAGACATAAAGCATTAATGCAAGTTAAAATGTTTCAGTGAACAAGTTTCAGCAGTTCAACTTTATAATAATCATAAATAAATCTGTTAAATTTTTCTGGACAATGCCAGCATTTGGATTTTTTAAAAACAAGTAAATTTCTTACTGACAGTTAAAAAAAAAAAGAATGCTCATGCTTCATGGGATGAGCTCAAAATATCAACATGAACAGGAGTTTAGAAGATCTGGATTCCAACCCTCATGTATGACTTCAAGGGGTTCAACACATCAGTGGAGAAAGGAGCTGCAGATGGGACAGCAACAGCAGGAGAACTAGAATTCAAGTGGAACCTGTAGATATGACTGAATTGCTGCAATCTCACGAGCAAAATTGGATAAATGAGGAGCTGTTTCTCATGGATGAGCTTGAGATGGAATCTACTTCAGGTAAAGACACTGGGAACATTGTTGAAATGACAAAAAGGATTTAGAATATTAATATTACATAAACTGAGTTGATAAAGTAGCAGTAGAGTTTCAGAGGAGTGACTCCAATTTAGAAATAAGATCTATAGTGGGTAAAACGCTATCAAACAGCATTGCATGCTACAGAGAAATCTTTTGTGAAAGAATGGTCAATCAATGAGGCAAACTTTATTGTCTTAACTGCCACAGCCACACCAACCTTCAGCAGCCACCACCCATTGAGAGTATTTCTACCATTGAGGAAAAACCCTTCACCAGCAAAGAAGATTCAGATTCGCTGAAGGTTCAGATGATCATTAGCATTTTTTACCAATGAAGTAGCTTTAAATTAAGGTATGGTCACTGTTTTCAGCTACAACACTACTGCACACTTAATAGCCAACGGTATAGTGTAAACATAAGTTTTATAGGTACTGGGAGACTAAACAATCTCAGTGACTTGCTTCTTATAATGGTGATGACTTCATGGCTGAGCATGCTTTGATTTTCTATGATAAACAGGCCCCTGCCTGTTTTCTGTCCTATCACTGTGCTGCTAGCCACATTTCATTTCAAACTAAAAGATAGTGACTGGAGACTGGTTAATAAGGAGCAGAGAGTAGCATGACCAAAGTAGTATTTTGGAAAGACTGCTATGGTACACCTGTACAAGTTGGGTTGGAAGAGCAAGAAGCTGGAGTCTTGCGAGGCTATCAGGCAGTTAGCTGTGTTCATCTACCCTCCCTTCAAAAGTCATCTCAAGGAGTGAGGCCTACTGCTCACTGGAGATACATCTCCAAGTTATGCCTGTATATCTTCTAATAAAATGCCAATAGATTTTCAGGCAAGAAAATACCTGAAAAGGTGACAAATACTGAAAACATCACAAGGATGTCTGGGGCATGTTTCAGGATACTCAACAGTGAGTCAAGATCAAGTCCATCTAAGCTGGAGTTCTCACTCCTTGAGATGACTTTTGAAGGGAGGGTAGATGAACACAGCCAACTGCTTGATAGCCTCCTAAGACTCCAGCTTCTTGCTCTTTCAACCCAACTGGTACAGGAATACCACAGCAGTCTTTCCAACATGCTACTTTGGTCAGGCTATTCTCTGCTCCTTATTTGCCAGTTTCCAATTTCTTTTACTTGAAATGAAGTGTGGCTAGCAGCACAGTGATGGAATAGAAAACAGAAAGGGTGTTCATCAAGCCTGCTGCTCTTGCCAGAAGGTAAGGAGAAAAAGCAGTCTCCAGCACTTGCAGCACATCAGCACTCACAGCTGCCCAGTATAACTCATGCTGTCGCCTACTGTGTGTGACCTTTGTGCAGTCCAGCCCTGCTAAATCCCACCCCCAACATGCCCATACCAATTGCAAACAACCCTTCAGTCCTGTCCTGTCTTCATTTAGGGTTATTTGAAACCGCTAATGTGCTAGAGTCTGATTTTCAATACATAATTAGTAACTTTCTTTCTAACTTGAAACTCCTGAAAAGTCCCACTTATTGTATAAAAGGCCTTCTATGCAGGCATTTCAATTGGGATTTAAAAGAAATCAAATCGTGAACCACTTCCACTTCCAGAAATGAATCAACAGCAATTCTCTCCTTTCTCATTTAAAGCTATCTTCTAGAGGAGATGTGGCTCTGGTGATAGCTTAATGATCAGACCAATAGAAGTCTAAAGTGTAGCTTGGGCCTTTCTGACTCATGATGCCATGCAAGATACGCTCTAACACACAAAGTCCTCTAGCATAGAACAGTGCAATTCACCAAAGAGCCAAACAATCCTGGGGTGCTATATCCTAGCTGCAATTTGGCCATTGCTCTTTTTACACGTCCAGCCCATCTCTTCCAACTGTCTGGGGCCATCTAATTTTTCATTCGTACATTATGACTAAAGTCCACACTTAATAATATAAAAATACAGTTCTAAGCCACAGCCAGTACCACCATCATGATGACCCTTGATCAAAATTTATTACTTTAGGACTAGCAGGTATCTAAGACAGGTAACCAATCTCCACTGCAGGCAAAAAGTAATAAAATCAAGTTTATGCAAATGCTTACCAGTGTGTCAAGGATGATCATATGTGTAAAACACCCTCCAGTTCCATTTCTAGTAATGGTACCAATGTTCAGAGACAAATAGCCTCAAAATACTGGTCTTGCTTGACTCCTTTCCTTTTCTTCTCTATCCAACTCAGGAAGTCTTACTAAATTTTCCTTTTGCCAGGCTTCCATGAAACCATGGTTAAGATGACAGATCACTTAGGTAAGCTAACCACAGGTTAGCTCTGTGACCTTAGCTAAGTTGTTAGTTTTCTCATCTGTGAAAGGAGATATAATACTCTACTCATAAAGTCGTTGTGAGGATTAAATGAGTTACACCATGTGAGTTATTATAAGGATGAAATGAGTTACACATGCCTGCACATGTTCAACACTCAGTAATATTATTACTACTTCCCAGATTTCATTAGTTTTCATTAAGCATTCCTTCACCTTTGTTCCCCACTACAGTAACATTAGCAATTAAAAGTTCACCTAGTAGTATGTTTATTTGTGCCTATTCCTTCCATTAGAATGTACACTTCTAGAAGGTAGATAGAGATTTAACATCTTTATTTTACTTTACCTTTCACAGAACTTCATGTAAATCAGTAATGTTTATCAAATAGATTGTCCTTAATGACTACTTGTGCCTCAAGATCAACAACAACCATATATGGGGATTCCTATAGTAACAGTGAGACTCTGTGACCTGACTTCCTCAACACCCACTGCTGAAGAAATAGGCCTTCCCAGATTTGCTGTGCTGCTGGCCTCTCTTCTAAACACAGAAATTTCACTTCAGAATATTTCTGCACCACACTTGTCCCCTATTGTGCACACCTCTAACACATCCTACTCATGGATGTTTCATTGAGTGTTCTAGTATTATGCCTTCACTGTCACATCAGAGTGGCCAGAATAAAAAAAAACATGCAAGTATTCTATAAGCCAAAAATTTCACTAGAAATCTGAAGTAAACACTTCAAATAGAGATGGCTCCTTAGTAACAAACAGACAATGACAATGTTTACATATGCTCACTAAAGTTTATGCTAAGCAAGACCCTGTGTACAATGCATCTTCTCTTGGCACTACACAGCTGTGCAAGCAAGGATTAGACATATGTAGAAACGCAGGTATGTGTGTGTAAACACAAACACAACCTAAAATGTGCCAGAAAAACTCAGAGTTTTCAGATTTTTTTTTTTTTGAGACAGAGTCTCGCTGTGTTGCAGCAGTGGTGTGATTATAGCTCACTGCAGCCTTGACTTCCCAGGCTCAAGCAATCATCCCACCTCATACTCCTGAGTAGCTGGACTACAGGCACATGCCACCACACCTAGCTAATTGTTTCATATCTTTGGTAGAGATGAGCATTTGCCATGTCACGCAGGCTAGTCTGAAGTTCTGGGCTCAAGGAATCTGTCTGTCTCGGCATCCCAAAATACTGAGATTATAGGTGTGAGCCATTGCGCCCAGCCTTTTTTCAGGTTTTAATGACCACTTTGAAACAGGACCTTTGAAATTATCGGTTAACCTATGCTGATGATATACTCACTTGTAGCTTCCCATTCTGATTTACTTAAGGTTCCCTAAAATTACAAAAGAGAAAAAGAAAATTTTAGAACAAATACGGAAGTAAAAATATGCTTATTTCTAAATAATGGGCAGAGACGGCCAAAAGACCCTAACTTCTCTGAAAATACACATTGAATTCACTGTTAATCATATCATAATCTGAGCATAAAAATCAGTGAGATTAACTTTTAAAGCCATCTTCTCACACTTTAATCCTCTTGCCATATTCTCTAACCTGTGAATTCTCAACCAAAGAGTGAATGTGTGTGAAGAGGGCACAGTGTGTGTGTATAACTGGAAAATGCATCTATCTTATATTCTTAATTTGGAAAATGAATACATCAAAAAGCACTGGTGGAAAAAATACAACTTTTGTGTTTTTTTCAAAGGAATAACAAAATACATACCACACGAAGGAAATAAATTATATTTATGTAGCTATCAAAATATTAAAAATGAGTTGCTTTGCACACATTAACTATAACAACAAGATCTACTGGCAGTTCTAGTGACGTAATTTTCCAGATGTGATAAATGAAAACAATATCCTAAGATATTAGCAAAAATGTGCTATGAAAATATCTTTAATTTCTAATGATGACAAAGTCTTAGCAGCAGCTGTTGTACTGTTGTACTGTTGTATTCATCATTTCTGAAATGTAAACTTTTACACAGAAGTGAAGAGATGTAATATTTTCCCATTTAAATTCCCGGACCCCTGAATTCTATGTATGAAACGCTGTGATTCATTGGTGCCTACATTAGCAGGCAACTTGCACACTAAGATTTTTTCTCTATCCTCACTGCCTCAGATATAGTACTCCATTCTCAGTACACTGAAATAAGTGTTATTCCATATTCTGTGGTTATAAGAAGTCAACATAACTTAGGGGAAAGAACTGATTTGTAAATCAGTGAGCCCAAGTATTGTAAACAAGTGAAATAATTTCCTATGTCTTCACATAATGCATGTTTTTTCATTCACTATAAAATACTTCCAAAAATGAAAACTTACCAAAGGTAACCTTACTTGACTGTTCTTCATGTACTTTGCTGCATGTTCATAGTCATCCACCTTCTCAGAGACAAGTTTAGAATTCTCATTTGCAGGATACGGCTGTGGAAACCGATGAAAAGTCCTAGTTACGATAATACATTGAAATTTGCAATTCAGAAATACACTAAATCACTGAAATACCATAATTAGGAGAATAATCCATAAATACTATTTCAGGAATGTAAACTACACATACTTTTGAAATATGAAAAATAAATAAATAAAGGAGGAATCCTCTCTTAAACCAGCAACTTTTTTGCGACAGAGTCTTGCTCTTGTCTTCCAGGCTGTACGCAGTGGTAGGATCTCTGCTCACTGCAACCCTGGCATCCTGAGCTCAAGTGATCCTCCCACCTCAGACTGCTGGATAGCTGTGACTATAGGCAAAAGCCACCATGCTGGCTAATTTTTAAAATTTTTTTTGTAGAGAAAAAGTCTCAGTATGTTGCCCAGGCTGGTCTTAAACTCCTGGGCTCAAAGAATCCTCACACTTCAGCCTCCGGAAGTGCTGATATCATAGGTGTAAACCACCACATACAGTCTTATGGTCAACTTTTATTACAATCTTAGGATATTTATAGCTGGAATAAGCTACATAATTTAGTCACCACCAAAAACCATTTAGCAGCAAACACTTGCACCTTTTCTACTGCTAGCCAAAGGCTTTGTTATGTCACAAATACAGAGCTTAAAAATGTCATAAAAAGAGCTAAGTATTAAAATAATAGTGATTTAATAGCCATGAAAAGCATAAAGGGCAATTACAAATAATAAAAATTAAAAAGTCAAGTCAACATAGAACCCTGTTTAATAATCCAGCCTCCAAAATATAGACATTTCCCATATTTACATAAGACTCTGAAGAAGGGTCAGAAAAACATGCTATTTTTAAGGGAATGCTGGCCAAATGTTTACTCAAATTACTTCAAGTGCTATTTTCAATCCATTTTAAGTGATATCCCTTTATAGTATTTGCATTATGCCTTTTAATACATGTAAATCAGGCCTGGCTCAGTGGTTCACACCTGTAATCCCAGCACTTTGGGAGGCCGAGGCAGGCAGATCACTTGAGCTCACGGGTTCGAGACTAACCTGCACAACATGTCAACATCTTGTCTCTACAAAAAAAATACAAGTAGTAGCCAGGCATGGTGGTGCGTACCTGCAGTCCCAGCTACCCAGAAGGCTGAAGTGAAAGGATCACTTGAACCAGGGTCAGGAGAAGTTGGGGAGGACATGCAATGAGCCAAGATGGTGCCAGTGCACTCCAGCTTGGGTGACAGAGGGAGACTCTGTCTCCCCCACTACCCCGTCAAAAGACAAACTACATACATATAAATCGAAATACAATAAATTACATAAAAGTTAATAGAACCATCTACTCTACAAAGTTTATATTTAATAATATACTTCATTTATAATTCTTTGTCTTACTGCAACAAACCAGCTAAAAAGGAAACACTTTAAACTTACAACTCCCTAATAAACTTTTAAGAAAATGATCTATGAATATCTGCTTTACAATATCTTTGTCTCTTTCCTTTATAAACATCCTGCAGCAAGTTCAGGCATTAGAAATTAACCTATGTATGTACTGTTTTAAAAGTGTTCAGCTATTTGGGATTGCCATAACATTAGCACAAGCCACCTTACTTTGCATCACATCCCAACGCAGGGATGTGATAAAGAACACAGACTATCAGTCAGATTTTTTAAACTTTAATTCCACATGCTGTAGTTTTACTATATCACAAAGCTTCAGAACTTCATTTTTGAATGCCTGCCAAACTATTTTGTTGTAAACTTATTCTTCAACTTATCCTCCATGTGATTATCTGCTTATCACTGGATACCATTTCTTTCCTCTACTGACCATTTTGAAAGACCAACCAAAACATGATTATAAAGCTGCAAAACATCATTGTTTATCAAAACTCATTTTTTGAGACGGAGTTTCAGTTTTGTCGCTCAGACTGGAGTGCAGTGGCACAATTTCCAATCGCTGCAACCTCCACTTCCTGGGTTCAGGCAATTCTCCTGCCTCAGCCTCCCGAGTAGCTGGGATTACAGGCATGCACCACCACACTCAGCTAATTTTGTATTTTTAGTAGAGATGGGGTTTCACCATGTTGGCCAGCTGGTCTCAAAACTCTTGACCTCAGGTGACCTGCTCACCTGGGCCTCCCAAAGTGCTGAGGTTACAGGCATAAGCCATCATGCCTGGCCCAAAACATCTTAAAACATATGTATCTTAGTGTCTTCTCTAAAAGGGGTTACTTTTCCAGAACTGTCCCTAGCATACGTTTGCTGGTGAAAAAAAGAACACAGGCATCGGGACCTACAGTTCCACGGCCTACATATTTTCATTCTTTCTTCTCTCTGTTCTAACACTCTAGGAAAGCAGAAAAGTTTTATTGGGTCTAGTACTGAACCCAGATGAAAGCTGAATGCTTCAGGAAGACTTTTTACAGCAAATATCAAGAAATAGATCCATTTAAACCTCTGACCTAGTTGAAAACAGTGGTGTCCGACTGCTCTTTCCACCTTTGGTCTGGTTTCAACGTCCCTCCAAAACATCCTCCATTATGCCACCCAACTAGTGTCCTAACTCTTATTTGGTCATGTCCTTTCCTGATCCAAGTCCTTTACAGGCCCATCAGAGTGACTTGGTCAAGAAGTAGGAAAACCAAATAAATTTTCAAACTGCATGTTATTACTGTTTCTGTCCCCAGACAGCCATGCTAACAGGTCATATCCTCAAGGGCAGTACTGGGAGAGAAGAAAGATTGTTGAAAAAATGTGAAAGCCATTAGTACTACTTCGTTGAACATCCCCTTGCTCTCAGGTTTCTCTGCCTGCCCTCTTTCAGTCTCTTCCAGTCTCCTTTCTTCCCAAAAGGTCGTTTATATACTCACTGCACTTGGAATGTGTCTGTAATACTAAAATTTCCACCATGGACTGCATTATTCACTGGAATAACATGCCATAACATTCTTGTTACCCCATACCCTACTACCTAAGTACATTTTGACATAAATTACACAAGTGATTTCATTACCTGTATGCTGAGAAAGGCTAAATAATTGATCACTGTCGCGCAAAACACCATCAAATAAAGGCAATATGCTAAAGGTAATGCATGTGTGTGTGGGGTTGGTGGGGAAGTTATTCACACATGGTTTTGCTAGTTTTCTCCTCTTCCTCAAGACAAACAAAACAAGCCTACCTTCCTAAGATAAAGCCAATACAAACATTCTTAGATCTAAAGTATAAAAAATATAACATTTTATTGATTATGTCTCTCAAAAGACAATTTAGAATTTACAGAAAGTCTTCCCACTCGACATGTGGGAGTGGCTGGGTGCAGGAACAACTTCAACAGGAGACTTTTGTTTGAGTATCATCTACAAAAACTGAGGAAACTCTAAAGGTCAGTAGCTATACTGCCTTGGGCAAGTCGTTTATCCTCTGAGCCTCAGGCTGCCCACTTAAATGTGAAGTGGCCAGGTGCAGTGGCTCATACCTGTAATCCCAGTACTTTGGGAGGCCAAGGCGGGAGGATCACTTGATGAGGCCAGTAGTTTGAGACCAGCCTGGACAACATGGTGAAACCCCACCAGTACAAAAAATTTAAAAATAAGCAAGGTGTGGTGACACATGCCTGTAGTCATAGGTACTCAGGAGGCTGAGGTGGGAGAATCACTGGAGTCTAGAAGGTGAAGGCCTCAGAGAGCTCTGATTGCATCACTGCACTCCAGCCTAGGCAACAGAGCAATACTCTGTCATTTAAAAAAAAAAAAAAAAAAGAATCGGAAAAAAAGTGAAAAGTTACCATTCTGCCTACTTCATGGAAGTAATTATAAGGTTAAGTGCTTAAAGTACTTAAACTGAATAAATTTTCTAAAGAAGTTTAATATCCATTTGATGAATATGATTCTACTGATCAATAAAAAATATGTTCACTGAATATTTTAGGTCTGTCTGACCAGATATTGTCTGATAAGGAGAAAAAGGAAAAACAAACAATGGCTGTGTGCTTGAAGTTTACATAGATACCTTCACTGCTGCATTAGGACAGGAGAGGTCTCAGCAACAATACAGTCTAAAAGACTGGAACCCTGCTAAACAATTACCGTACAACGAAATTATGCATGGTATGAGCTTGTGTGCACACTGGCCAGGAAGGTTCTAAATTACTCTTGTAACCAAAAGACACTGTTGCAAAGAACTGGTTCTCAACTTGGGGCAATTTTGCCCACCAGAGGACATTTGGCAATGTCTGGAGACAGTTCTTTGGTTACCATAACTGAGGACAAGGGTGTTACTAGAAGGCATCTAGTGGGTAGAAGCCAGGAATGCTACTGAATCTCCTACAATGCACAGCATCTCACAGCAAGAAATTATCCAGAACAAAATGTCAACAGTTCTGAGGTTGTGAAATCCTATTTTAAAGCAGTACTATCTAGAAAACAAAATTTGGTAACAGCATTCTTTCATCAAGTATTTACTGAACAGTCATCATGCAGTTTCTGCATCAAGCTCTGTCCTAAGTGCTGAAGAGTGTAATACACATAATTACTTCATGTCCAGATGGCCTAGCAAGGATCTCAAGAACAGCCGAACAAGTTCACCATGACTGGAATTTTCACATTTTTTCTAAAAACTCACCTCCAAGGCCTGCATTCGTTTTAACAGCATTTTATTTTCATTGTTCTTGATCTTTTCTTCGTAAAATTCCCGAAATGTTTTTTTGTAGACTAGTTTCATATTGTATTTCTTTGCCATTCTGTCCAAAAAAGAATACTTAATGAAAAAGCTTCCAAAATGTTTGTAATTCCTCAACTGACTTTTGTACAACAGTGACATCTTCTGGACTTAACTAAAAAAGCTACCATTTCCTATAAATTCACAATAGAGTAATAAAAAAATGAATCAAAAATAACATATCATACCTAAAAGAAATATGCATTCTAAATCTCAGGGCGTTTCAGATAGCTCTTTTAGTATAACACATAGGTCAGGAAGCAAATGAAAGAGTCTCTGGAGCGATGAGATAGGGAAGAAGAGCTATCTTCTTTTCTACTGGTTCCATTTTACTTTACGTGATCTCTCATAGCAGCACTGAAAATAGCTGCTGACTTCTTTCTTAAAGATTCACTTTCATCTCTGGACATCTCTGGCAAGAAACACTATTAATTTTTCCCCATCATGGACTGCTTCTTTGTGTGTTTTTTTTTTTTCCTTTTTACTTGCAGGTTTCTTTTTTTTAAAACCCAACTTTTAAACTTCAAGATTCTGAAGAGTTCGGCCCAGAGCCCTACTCTCTTCCACCTCTGAGCTATCTGTAGTTCAACTCTCTCTAGTCGCTCACTGATTGTACTGCTTATTAAAAATCTTCACCTGCATGTGTCACTGGCACTTTCTAACTTCCCACATCTAAGGCTGAACATCACTACTCTTTTTCTGCCAGTGTCTGCCATTTCAGTAAATCAATCTAATGATCCATGCCATCTCCCCCTCTTTTACCCACTGTGCTCAACACACATCACTAAGTCCTCTCTACTTTACCTAGAAAATATCAATTTCAAATAGGTCCACTTCTTACTTCCTGCATTTGGCACAATCCTGCTGCTTCAGTCACAATCACCACTTAGTGGTACCAGTCCAAAAACTCATTTTGCTTGTCCCCTGCTTCCATTCTTAACTCTCCCTCAATGAATATTCCAGTCGCAGCCAGATTAAGCTTTCAGAAATATGGACCTGAGTCATGTCACTACCTTCCTTAACACTCTCCACTGGGCTCCAATGCACTCAGGACCCAGAAGATGGTCTCTAAGATATTCATCTGTAAAGGAATGCTGTCTCATTTTGGGACATCCCCCATGATCGGTCATGATGGGCCTTCTTTCAGCATCCTGGACTAGCCTGGAGTTCCCACTGCAAGGCTCTCACACACACTGTCCTCTTGTCAGGAGCATTCTTCCCTCCAGTCTTCAGCTGCCCACCTACTATTCTATCCTTTAGATCCTGACTCAAACATCACTTTACAAGTGTCTTCCTTAAATCTTCAATTATATTAGGTCTCTCTGTTAGACTCTCAGGTATTTTTTTTTCCTCACTGCATTTGCCAAGTTTATAATTACGTATCTGTAGACAACAAGAGGGTATCTGGCGATGACTCCAGGCAGCACATAAAACAAGAGTGGAAGGGAGGGAGGAAATCCTGAAAGTTAGGTGGGAGGGCTTGTATACAGGGTGGCATTTGAGGAGATAGGGTAAGGGCAAATGCTGAGGGGCTGTTGAGGTTTCTATATAAGAGATATAAATAAGGCAGGATTCTGTTACTTCAATTAACCCTACTTGGAAAGGCAACATGAGAAAAGTAATTTTTTTATTCCAGGCAGTGCATTTTCTTTTGTAAATCTCTAAAATAAGCCCTTAGAAATGAAACCAAGTTTTAAATCTAAAAAAATAACATGACTCAAAGAATTGAGACCCAGTTTGAATAGGTTTTGCCACATAAAAAACTTATTTCTGTTCAGTTTCTTAATGAAATGGCAAAAAGGCATCTCAAAAACCCCTGCACATTTTCATATTCTATTTCCTCCAATACTGTTTCAATAATCTTTCAAAAAATCAGATATTAAAGTGATGACTTAGGTTTACCATCATTAGGCAATTTCAGTTAAAACAAAAAAAGAAGACTGCTAGTTCTTGCTTAGCACTTAAAACAAATCTTTTGTTTTATTCCTTTGAATTATACTAAAATCACCAAGTCAGTTAACTAAAATCTCAAGCTAACATATTAAACATACTCAACAACATTCCACAATTAAGTTCTTTTTAAAATAAAGTTGAAGAGCAATAACATTTCCCCGAAGTTTATTAGTTTTAAAAATTAAAAACTAAAATGAAATCAGTATTTTTAAATTTTGTAAATGGTTTATACTTACAAAATTATGCACAGTACTTTCCTCATGTTCAGTCACAATACTACTTGGCTTTCTTATATTATTAAATAAGCTATTATAAAACTCCTGAAAATAATGTAGCCCTAACTTTACAGACTGAGTTACAAATCAAATAATCACCAAGCAAAAATAAGCAGACAATAACCTTCTTCTTTTACTCAGTTAATATTTAAAACAAAGATTTTTGTTTTAAAAAGTAGAAAATCAAGTTCAATCAATCATGACATGGCCTACACTTAAGCTGACTTTTTTAGTCTCCCCATCAGGGAAACTCTGGAAACCAAGTTGTAGTCACAAGGCCTTAAAGCCTTACCTGATAAGGCCCAGTTATCACCAGATTTTCCTGTGTCTACAGTTTGTCAGGACTTCTAGGAATTCAGACACATGGGAGAATACATTCCTGAATCAGGATTTTATCATCAACATTGCCTGTGAGACACAGGCAATTTCAAAGCTATAGTAAAATGCAAACAACTTTTAATACTCGTCTCTGTCAACAAGAAGATCTTTGATTTATGAAGACTCATTGTTTATCATCAAAGTTTCCAGCAGTCACTAAAAAAAAACTTTTGCTATTTGCAGTGTCAGGCATTTTGCGCCACAAGCTGAAGGCAACTGGCCCCCTTTTTCACCCATAAGATCAAAAAAGTCCAGGAATGAAGGAAAACTAATTAAGTTAGGCTATATAAGACCTATGGCACCAATTCCCTAGATGTGAGGCTAGTCTTTTTTTAAAAAACAAATAAAAAACAAAAGAAAAAATAAGATTGTACTTTTTCTTAGGCCCCCATTTAAAATAAAAGTAAAAGAAATACTGCTTTTCCCCCTTTTTCTTTCCCTTAAGACAAAAAGAAAAGAGTGAACAGATTAATGACTTCTTACTCATTTAGTAATGGAAAATAGACCAAGAATTCAGGGACATCCACAACACCTTCCAAGTTGAAGTCATATTTGCAGCCAAATAAAGGATAATCTCCTTTCTTCTGAAATTTCACAGTATATATTTCATTTCCAAATGATTCTGTTTCTGAAGCTTCAAGGCGTCTTCTATCAAGGTTATCCCCCAAACAAAATAAAAAGATTAAAATTGTGATTAGACTTCTTTTGATCAGACTATGCATGTGAAAAACGACATGATGCACATTTGATTAGCTTTTTAGTTAGATCTGGGCTACATTTTTTTTTTTTTTTAAAGTGACAGGATCTTACTCTCTCAGGCTGGAGTGTGTTGGTGTGATAACTCACTACAGCCCCCAACTCCTAGGCTCAGCCTCTCCAGTAAGGACTACAGGGGCATGCCACCATCCCTGGCTAATTGGGAAATTTTTTTGTAGAGACAAGGTCTCACTATGTTGTCCAGGCTGGTCTCAAACTCCCGGCCTCAAGCAATCCTCCTGCCTTGGCCTCCCAAAATGTTGTGATTATAGGTGTGAGCCACTGTACTCTCTTGATCTAAGCTAATTTTAAGAAGCAATATACTAAAAGATCACTAACAGTCACACCAATAAAATTAAGCTGGAAGTAGGTATCATTCTGTCTCATGACAGCTGTTAAGTCTCTATGCCTATGTGTCTGACCTGCAGTTTGTCTATCACTGTAACTTAAGTCTCTAGCTTACACATAAAGATGATCTTTTAAAAGTTCATCTGTAAATTTGTCTTTTGAACTTAAATTCTGAATGTCTACTCAAATATCTTATGAAAGTGTTCAACATTTATTTAAAATAGCATATTTTTATAAAATCTCTCTCTGATAAATATTTGCTACTTAATCCTGAATATTTCATAAACCACAATATATTTAAAAACACTTACATCAATTCAAAGCTATTGGGAGTAGTACCAATAAAATAGCCCCCAGGGCTAAGTCGCTCACATGCATTTCTCAGCATCATGTCGGCCTGCTCATAGGACTCAAATGAGTAATGACAGACAAACTGACAACTGCAGATGTCAAAACACATTTGTGGGTCACGAAATTTGTCAATCAGAAGTTCCTGAAACCAAATAAAATGAGTTAAGATTTTCAGGTAACTACAACACAGACTAAACACTTTTTTAGTAAATTAATTTCTAGAATGTTAGGTTTTTCCTTTTCCTCACAATCTTCAACCTATCTTTTCCCTTTATTGTGATTAGACTTATTTAGATTATCCTTTATTGTGTACAATAAAGAACACATGAAAATCATGCATGTATTCTAGTTTAATAGAATAATTTGATTCTCAATTATTCTACTTAATACTGAATATTTCATAAATCACAATGTATTTAAAAGCACTTACATCAATTCAAAGCTATTGGGAGTAGTACCAATAAAATAGCTCCCAGGGCTATTTTTTCCCAGTATTTAAAAACCGAGGAATTCTGAAATCATGTTTAAAAAATATATCAAATTATAACAGTTCAAGTTGATCCTTTCATCACTTGATAGCTAAAATAAAATGACATTCAACAATAACTTGGATTAAAAAACAACACCTGACCTTTGGTGTTTTTTAAAAAACGCAAAAATGTTTTAAAGATATTACAACTTTCTGGCAGTATACTCCCATTTATTTCTTTCACTTTCAAATTTCAAACAAAATGTGTATGATTAAAGGTATCTTTAACAGTTCAATGAGCCAGTAAGTCAATGAAGAACAAAAAGTTCACGGTGAGACTTTCACCCCTGAAGTGCCTCTGTAGATCTTTACAAGAAATTCAGAAACAGGTGGAAGGTAGAAAAAAATAAACAGGCTCTGATATGTTAGGGAACTAATAAGGTGAACAAAACAAAGTATAAGTTCAGTTATATTTCAAAATACTGGAAAATAAATGCTGTCCAAACAAACAGAAAAGCAACTAATTTCAATTCAAATTATTAAAAGCAAAAAATTACAAGTGTTCAATGAATTATTTAAGGGAATTCATCACAACAGAATTTCCAGTCAAAAGTAAAAATGCATGTCCCAAGATTTTTAAAGTTTCAAAACACATTTTAAAAAATGGGTGGCTGGGAACCATGACTCATGCCTATAATCCCAGAACTATGGGAAGCGGGCAGATCACTAGAGCTCAGGAGTTTGAGGACAGCCTGTACAACATGGCAAAACCCTGTCTCTACAAAAAGAACACAAAAATTAGCTGGGTGTGGTGATATGTGCCTGTAGTCCCAGCTACTCAGGAGGCTGGGAGGCAGAATAATTGCTTGAGCCTGGGAGGCAAAGGTTGCAGTGAGCTGAGATCATGCCATTGCATTCCAGCCTGGGTGACAGAGCGAGACCCTGTCTCAAAAAAACAGAATAAAAATTTTTGTTACAAAGTAAAAAATGAGTTGATTTTTAAAACAAATTATTTATCCAAACTAAAAATGTAAAAACTAAATCAACCAAAGAAACTGTACCTTTGAGCAGTCAGCAGTTATAAATTCTGCACTGAAAATATATTCACTATCACGACGATTTTTCATGTCCTCATACCGCTGCTGACACTGTTTGATAGAAACATCAGCAATATCTGAAAGGATGAAAGGATATTAGTAAGTATCAAGACAGAATGCCAGAAATCTAGACCTTGATCTCAACTGATAAACTCTAGCATGGAAGTCAGCCTTAGTAACAGTAAAAAGGTTTTATTTCCTTTAAAATAAAAGGGCTTTGTTCTGATGCAAATACCCTATCAGTTTTCAAAAGGAACTAAAAGCTTCTCAATAGGTACTCCTGCTAGAAAAATTCTAACATGATTTTTAAACACTTATTCAAACTAAAAAGCAGAAAGTTATATTCCAATCTGAATTCTAAAACCTAACATTACTAATAAGCCCAATTTTGGAAATACAAAGTGTATATTTTAATAAAAAAAGTATATAAAATTAATGTGCAAAAATCACAAGCATTCGTCTACACCAATAACAGACTTAAAGAAAGCCAAATCAAGAACGAACTGCCATTCACAATTGCTACAAAAAGAATAAAATACCTTGGAATACAATTCACAAGGAACGTAAGGGACCTCTTCAAGGAGAACTACAAACCACTGCTCAACGAAATCAGAGAGGACACAAACAGATGGAGAAACATTCCATGTTCATGGTTAGGAAGAATTAATATCGTGAAAATGGCTATACTGCCCAAAGTAATTTACAGAATCAACGCTATCCCCATCAAGCTACCATTGACTTTCTTCACAGAACTGGAAAAAACCACCATGAACTTCATATGGAACCAAAAGAGAGCCCGCATAGCCAAGTCAATTCTAAGCAAAAAGAATACAGCGGGGGGCATCACACTACCGGATTTCAAACTATACTACAAGACTACAGTAATCAAAACAGCACGGTACTGGTACCAAAACAGAGATATAGACCAATGGAACAAAACAGAGGCACCGGAGGCAACACAACATATCTACAACTATACAATCTTTGATAAACCTGACAAAAACAAGCAATGGGGAAAGGATTCCCTGTTTAACAAATGGTGTTGGGAAAACTGGCTAGCCATGTGCAGAAAGCAGAAACTGGACCCCTTCCTGACACCTTACACTAAAATTAACTCCAGATGGATTAAAGACTTAAACATAAGACCTGGCACGATAAAAACCCTAGAAGGAAACTAGGCAAAACTATCCAGGACATAGGAGTAGGCAAGGACTTCATGAACAAAACACCAAAAGCATTGGCAACAAAAGCCAAAATAGACAAATGGGACCTAATGAAACTCCACAGCTTCTGCACGGCAAAAGAAACAGTCACTAGAGTGGATCGGCAACAAACAGAACGGGAAAAAATGTTTGCAGTTTACCCATCTGACAAAGGGCTGATATCCAGAATTTACAAAGAACTCAAACAGATTTATAGGAAAAAAACAAACAAGCCCATTCAATAGTGGGCAAAGGATATGAACAGATACTTTACGAAAGAAGACATATATGAGGCCAACAATCATATGAAAAAATGCTCATCGTCACTGGTCATCAGAGAGATGCAAATCAAAACCACACTGAGATACCATCTCATGCCAGTTAGAATGGCGATCATTAAAAAATCTGGAGACAACAGATGCTGGAGAGGATGTGGAGAAAAAGGAACACTTTTACACTGTTGGTGGGAGTGTAAATTAGTCCAACCATTGTGGAAGACGGTGTGGCGATTCCTCAAGGCCTTAGAAATAGAAATTCCATTTGACCCAGCAATCCCATTACTGGGTATATATCCAAAAGACTTTAAATCGTTCTACTATAAGGACACATGTACACGAATGTTTATTGCAGCACTGTTTACAATAGCAAAGACCTGGAATCAACCCAAATGCCCACTGATAATAGACTGGATTGGAAAAATGTGGCACATATACACCATGGAATATTATGCAGCAATCAGAAATGATGAGTTTGTGTCGTTTGTAGGGACATGGATGAATCTGGAGAACATCATCCTCAGCAAACTGACACAAGAACAGAAACTGAAACACCGCATATTCTCACTCATAGGCGGGTGATGAAAAATGAGAACACATGGACACAGAAAGGGGAGTACTAAACACCGGGGTCTATTGGGGAGAAAAGGGGAGGGCCAGTGGGAGGGGGAGTTGGGGAGGGATAGCCTGGGGAGAAATGCCAAACGTGGGTGAAGGGGAAAAGGAAAGCAAAGCACACTGCCATGTGTGTACCTACGCAACTGTCTTGCATGCTCTGCTCATGTACCCCAAAACCTAAAATCCAATAAAAAATAAAAGAAAATAAAAAAAATAAAAAATAAAATAAATAAATAAATGTTATTTGCCCTTTTCTCCCCTCCACCCCCCCACTCCCCCACCGTTTTTGAGACAGAGTCTTGCTCTATTGTCCAGGCTGGAGTACAACGGTGTGATTGTGGCTCACTGCAACCTTTGCCTCTGGGGTTCAAGTGATTTTCATACCTTAGCCTCCCGAGTAGCTGGGATTACAGGTGTGTGCCACCATGCCCAGCTAACTTTTTGTATTTTTGGTAAAGGACAGGATTTCACCATGTTGGCTATGCTGGTCTCAAACTCCTGGCCTCAAGTGATCCATCCTCCTTGGCCTCTCAAAGTGCTGGGATTATAGGCATGAGCCACTGTGCTCAGACTGCCCTTTTCCCTGTTTTAAGGTTCATACTGATGATGCAAAGGCAACGTTAGGTAAAACACTGGGATCTTATCACAAATACAAAGTAGCAGCACTAAATAGTACTGGCAGTACTTGATGTATTCTTCACCACTATACAATAGGTAGGGGGGAAAAGCCAGTTTTACTTAAGAATGCCCTTGATAAAGCAGTGAAAATTAATTTTATTAAACCTGGGCTCTTGAATACACACTTTAAAAAAATGTTGTGTGATGAAATTGGAAGTAACAAAACATTTCTGCAACCTAACAAAGTTTGACAGTCATCTTCAAGAATAGTACTAATATACCTGTTCTGAGTTTTGAGCTGTACTGGCCATATTTTTTCTCAGAAAATCATTTTGACTTGAATGACTAACAAACTATGGTTATGCAGACTTGATTATCTGACACACATTTTCTTGAAAATGAACAAAGTGAGCCTGTCACTTAAAGCAAAGTTCCCCAACCCTCGAGCCACAAACCACTACCGATCCATGGCCTGTGAGGAACCAGGATGCACAACAGGTGAGTGGCAGGCAAGCTAAGTAGCACACTCCTTATGAGAATCTAACACCTGATAATCTGAAGTGAATTCCATCCCCTGCTTTTGCGGAAAAACTGTCTTCCATGAAACCAGCCCCCGGTGCCAAAAAGGTTGGGGACTGCTGATTTAAAGGAAAACAATGCACAGTGTATTTGTTGCCAAAAGTAAAACTGACTTTCAAGAACTACAATCCTGAAAAACTTGTACTGATCACTGTGTGACGAACTTCTTCCCAACAGTTTTCTGATTGGCAGTGATTTTTTGATTCTCAACAATTACAAGATCTGCATAACCTTAGTGAACAATATTTTCCAAATACTGCAAAATCATGCAGGAAGTACAAGACAGATCAATGGATTTTAATGTTATACAGTATAAAAAGTTCATGAGTAAGGTTTCAGATTCCATATAGTAACTACTATTTAAGAAACTACTATTTATTGAGTTTTGACGTAGTAACAAATAGGAATATCTACAATTATCAAAAAAGGCTATTTAAATACTCCTTTATTTTACAGCTACTTATCAATCAAAATAAAATCACAACATAATGGATGAAGATACAGGTGTGAGAATCCAGTTGACTCCTGAAATTCCAGACTCTAAAGGGATTTTCAAAAATGTAAAAGCCAGCCTTCTTACTAAATTTTATTTGAATGAACTAAAAAATATTTTCAAAATTCTCAGCTTTAATTTCTAATATAGAAAATATCAGTAGCTACTTACCATAATTACATACAAAAAAGCTTTCTGGGATCCTCAGTAATTTTTAAGTGTACAGGGCTTATAAACCAAAAAATTTGAGAGCTGCTAATTTAGGCAGTACTTCAGTAGTAGGGCTATATATCTCTTTTAACTCACCACATCAGAAAGACGCTGATGTCTGCTTGTCCCACTTCAGTGTTAAGACTGATCACTGGGCTAAGGTAATTGATTCATTCATTCATTACATTCCTATCAACTTTCCCCCTAATGGCTTCAGCAGTAGAAATAAATTATTGCTTAGAGCTATCATTTCATCGAGACTGAAAAAATGATTTTCTAATTCTATCATTTCTCCTCTATTTATTTGATTAAAAAAAAAAAAAAAAAAAAAGGAATTGCCTTTTTCAACCATCTGATTACAAATGTTTGATTCCCTCCCCTTAATTTATAAGTTTCAGAATAGTAAGTTTCTTAGCAACCTCCAAGGGTGAACAATGTTTTTTCTTGATTCGATGTGTCCAACTGCTATTTTTTTTTTTAATGTTCAAATTGTTCTATTTTAGCCAATGGAAACCTTTTCTGCCCTTTAGACATGACTCCAATCACCTTAGATAGCTTCATTCCTTTTGGGAAGGAAAAGTTATCCCAAGCTTATTAATCAAATCATAAAATGACGAGGAAAGTCTTGCAACTAAATTTTTTTTTTTTTTTTTTTGAGATGGAGTCTTGCTCTGTCACCCAGGCTGGAATGCAATGACTCAATTTCAGCTTACTACAACCTCTGCCTCCCGGGTTCAAGTGATTCTCATGCCTTAGCCTCCTGAGGAGCTGGGATTACAGCTCTGTACCACCACGCCCAGCTATTTTTTGTATTTTTAGTAGAGACAGCGTTTCACAATATTGGCCAGGCTGGTCTCAAACTCCTGACTTCAAGTGACCCATCCACCTCGGCCTTCTAAAGTATTGGATGACAGGCGTAATCCATAGCGTTTGGCCCTAATTATTTTGAAAACCCTATCTCATGCATAGTCCCAGATATCTTGCAATTAGATATGATCCTCATTATTCTCCACTTGCCTGACTACAAATTATACTATCCCATACTATTATTTATCTTACCAGTGCAAACCAGCTTGTTAATTCTTCCTTTTTTCCATTTGAGCAAATCTCCACCTTTACCACATCCCAGGTCCAAAACAGTGATATCATGTTTTTTCTTCTGTCGTATCTTTTCCAAAAATTCTCCTAAAAGAGAGAAATCAGTAACAATAAACTACCTCTTCTTCAATTTTACTCAAATATAAACTGTTACCTCTACTAACCTACTATCTTTGTCCAACATTAACATAAATTATCACACACCCATTTATGTAGTTGATTTGTAACTTTTGATAAGTATCTAAAAATATGACTAAGGGTTGATTAATCTGATCTTCTATCATTAAAAAGTATGTTTCTGATGTTTTGGAAAATTAAGGCTGGATTTTGAATGTTACTTTCAAAAATAAATTTTAAATAGCAGATATTTAGAATTCGAATTAGTACAACACAACACAATACTAGATCAAAATGAGAGAAGAAGCTAAGTAACAATGAGAAAAACTATTCATAATATTTTGGTAGCTGTCTCTTTCCATAGCTAGGTGTTTACCTTAGTATACAAATAAGTAAATAAATGTTGTTATGGAATGATAAAAGAGCTTGATTATTATCAAAGATGTCAGGCTTACTACCAAGAGAAATGTAAGAACTAGTTTAAAAAAAAAAAAAAGCACTATGTCTTTTAGTTTTAGCAATATCAGAATTTGGTAGACCCCAGTCTACTAAATGATATTAACAGCAACAGATAAAAGCAGTAAGCCCACAAATATCAATAGACAAATTGTTCAAACAGCAATTAAAGGTTTATTATTCTCAGGCAAGTTAAGTATTCAACAATTCTAAAATTTGATATAATATTGAATCCTAGATCAATTTTCCTTGTCTTTATCACTGAGCTTAACACTTTCTAGCTCAGGTGTATACTATTTTGATGGTTAAAATATCCTGTACAAGTACTTTCGCTGTTTGCAGGACCTCAATGTCAACAGAAGCACAAGTGTTCCATAATATTTAACTTTCTGCCATGAATCTTAATAGCATAAAAATACTGAAAGATTAAAAAACAGCAATTATAAAATCTGTTTCTATACAGTAAGACTAATGAGAAAGGAAATCATCAAGAAACTCTTTCAGAAGAGCCTTGATCACATTCAAGAACTGTAGACAACTGTCTAGTTACCAAGCTACAAGCACCAAGAAGAAAGACAATGAATGACAAAGAATGAGTCTTGAGAAAGGAAAATGCCAGAGACAACACATGGCACAGGTCACACTGACTGCATTAGGACATTAAAGACAGGTGCAGACAGCAAAGCATACATCAAGAGAGCTGCTAGAACAGCTGAAGAATGAATACCCTGTATATTCTGAGAGAAAATTTTGCCAAGTCTGACTCCAGTCCTTTAAAAAAAATACCTCTTTTCTGATTATAAAAATAATACACGTAACAACATGGAAAATATGAACTCAAAAAAGTTATTCAATAGAAAACATGAATAATAATTCATAATCAAATCCAATAAGTTATCTGCATCACTGAAGATAATGAAGGAAGAGAAAGGCTGAAAAGAAATTAGGATGGGGGTCAAGCGAGAACCTTGTGAGTAAAGGCTGAAAATGCCATTACATTAATCCTAAAAAAAACCCAAACACTCATTTAGCCTAAGCTGACACACGGCAAAGTCAAATAAACCATATATTAACATATGAATGTTAAAAACAAATGAATGTGTTCAAAATAAGCCTAGTTAGTCCTATTCCCAGTACTTCTCAGAATGGGTAATTTCTCTTTGAAAATTAGTAAATTATCATCAAAACTAGTAGGAAAAACCACTTGATTCTTCCCAGCATAATTAAGAAGGCATCCTCATTTCTTCTCTGACTGGCTTGAAAAAAAAAATCTTTATTATGAAAAATTTTAAAACACAGTGACTTTTTAAAGTTCATATAGAGAGCAATAATTATATTCCTTTTTTTACCCTATCTTATGGTACTGAAAAGAACTGTATTCTGAATCATGTTTTTTTCTGCTCACTTTCATTTTAATTTCAGAGGTGAGTTTCCATAGATAAAATGTTGGCTCAATAAAATTGAATGTCTGTCTATCCTCAGGGTAATACACATGATCTTTATCAACTAACTGAAGGCCTAGAGGTAAAAAAATCAAGATACTGCCTATTTCTTGACTTAATGAAACCTGAATGTTTAACCAACAATATGCAGCTGCTCCAAAACTATCACAGTGAAATAAAATCATTACTTAATAGTACTAGGTAATCTTAATTAAGGTGCCTTAAAAAAGCATATTGCCTTCTGAAAGCCTGATTAACATAATCAATTAAACACTCAGTAAAATCTTACACAATCAACCAAAAATAAATATTAAAAGAATTTATCTTCAAGACCTTGTCTTGGCTCTAGCTTGATAGAGTGAGTCTATCAAGGTTTGATAATTAAATGAACAGTAATTAAAAACTCAGTAGCTTGGTGTTGGTTAAACCAGGGGGGAGAAAAAAAGGAAACATAAGCTAAAATGAAAAATTGCAAGCTAAACAGCAAAAAACAATCATACCAATGAGAACACTTTTCATCCAATTATTAAAGTTTCTTAGGTAAAAAATACGACTTTGACTACGCTTTTCCAAACCAATTTCCTGAAGTTCATTGTAATGGGCAGCCACGGCTGAGCTGTGTCCTTCTTCTAGATTCTGAAAATAAAAGAAAATAGAAAAAATCAAAGATCAGAACATGGTAAAAATAAGCCTCAGAACATCTGACCTGTGAATGGATAAACTACTACTAGAATTAGTAAACTTCACTAAGTAATGGCAATTAACCACAGAAGTCTCACTCATTATCATTAGACATAAGATTTGTTTTCTGTGCCCCTATATATCAGTCCATTTTAATGCTGCTGGTGAAGACATACCCAAGACTGGGTAATTTATAAAGAAAAAGAGGCTTAACGGACTCACAGTTCCATGTAGCTGGGGAGGCCTCAGAATCATGGTGGAAGGTGGAAGGTGAAAGGCAGGTCTTACATGGTGGCAGGCAAGAGAAAATGAGAGCCATGTGAAAGGGGAAACCCCTTATAAAACCATCAGATCTCATGAGACTTATTCAGTAACAGGAGAACAGTATGGGGAAGAGCACACTTGATTCAATTATCTCACACCAGGGCCCTCCCACACATGTGGGAATTATGAGAGCTACAATTCAAGATGAGATATGAGTGGAGACACACCCAAACCATATTCCCCTATTTTGAAAAACATCTCTAGGTTTAAAATTTTCATTTTGATCTTTCATCTGTATAATTTTGGTGTCAATGTTTTAATAAACCCAGTACTCTTCCAGAGTTCTAATTTATTCAGTTCAATAAATGATAGTCAGGGTTCAGTATTTCTACAAGGGAATAAAATAGGAATAAGCTATAATTATATTATTATAAATCTGTTGTGACAATTAAATAATGTATGTAAAGAGATTAGGGCTGGGCACAGTGGCTCACACTTGTAATCTTAGCACTTTGGGAGGTCCAGGCAGGAGGATCACTGAGGTTAGGAGTTCAAGACCAGCCTGGCCAACAAGGTGAAACTCCATCTCTACTAAAAATATAAAAATGAGCTGGGCATGGTGATGCACACCTGTAATTTCAGCTACTTGGGAGGCTGAGGTAGGAGAATCACTTAAACCCTGGAGGTGGAGGTCATGGTGAGCCGAGATTAGGCCATTGCACTCCAGCAGACAGAGTGAGACTCTGTCTCAAAAAAATGAAAAAAAAAAAAAAAAAAAAAAAGAGAGAGAGAGATTAGAATTCAGTGTTTCAGTTGTTAGTGATTTCTATTATGATAATGCCATTATTTATGTTACATATAACCCAACAGTTTTCAATTTTGTGCTTCCTGAGGCCCTAGGAATCCTGTAAAATTGACATGATAGGTAAAGGGCTTCAGATCTTCCTCCTTCCCTTTTCAGCTGAAGTGCTAAATCTCACTGATACACTGAAAGGCCTTTCAGCAAATCCTTCCTCCATTTTATATAACAGGTTTAAGTGTTAAGATTTTCACTAGAAAAAGGGGTTCTGGGGCTAGTAAAAGTTTGAAAACTATGTTTAAAATACAAGCTCCTGGCCAGGCGCAGTGGCTCACACCTGCAATCCCCAGCACTTTGGGAGGCCAAGATGGGTGGATCACAAGGTCAGGAGTTCAAGACCAGCCTGGCCAATACGGTGAAACCCCATTTCTACTAAAAATACAAAAATTAGCCAGGTGTGGTAGTGGGCACCTGTAGTCCCAGCTACTTGGGAGGCTGAGGCAGGAGAATTGCTTGAACACAGGAGATGGAGTTTACAGTGAGCCAAGATCACACCATTACACTCCAGCCTGGGTGACAGAGTGAGACTGTCTCAAAAAATACAAGCTCCTCTCTGTTACAAGAATTCATACTCCATTAATGACAAAAGCCTCACTTATTAGACTTCCCTCATAAGGGTCAATGGTAGAATTTTATTCACTCATTAAAGTACTCTTTTCCTCTAACTCCAGATTCTGCCTCAAATTCCTTTCTAATGTGCTATTTCCAGAAGAAAGTAACTTGCTCTATGATATCCTTGCTAAATATTAGGCACTTGCATTCACTTAACTAAAACTGTATGTTAAATACATTAATAAAAAGTTGAAAACAGTTTAAGGAATTACATTAAAGAGATGTTAAGCCAGGTATGATTTTAAAAGTTATCCCTTTAATTGATAACTTCTGACAAAAAAACTGTAGATGAACACCTAATAAAAAAGGAAAATAGGTAAATCATTTGGATGTCATACTCAAGTCTTTTTAAAAATACCAACAAAGAGCAAACTAGCTTTCAGGTTTCTAGTTACAGGAGGAGAGGACTGTTTATGCTCAGGAGGTTGAGGCTGCCACAAGCTATGATTGCACCACTGCACTGCAGCCTAGGTGACAGTGCAAGACCCCATCTCAAAAAAAAAAAAAAAAAAAAAAATTTCTAGCTAAGTAAGATTCTAAAATAAAATAACGATGATCTCATTAGAGAATAAAAACAAACAAAAACCAAAAAAAATTTATCTAATTAGCAGGTGATGTTGCAACTTAACAAAAATCATAAGAGTTAAAAGCCTACTCTGTCTTAAGACCATATCTATTAAAAATAGAACATTCTTGGCCAGGCACAGTGGCTCGTGCCTGTAATCCCAGCACTTTGGGAGGTTGAGGCAGAAGATCATGAGGTCAGGAGATTGAGCCATCCTGGCCAACATGGTGAAACCCTGTCTCTACTAAAAATACAAAAATTCGGCCGGGCGCGGTAACTCATGCCTGTAATCCCAGTACTTTGGGAGACCGAGGCAGCTGGATCACGAGGTCAAGAGATCAAGGCCATCCTGGTCAACATGGTGAAACCCTGTCTCTACTAAAAATACAAAAAATCAGCTGGGCATGGTGGCGCGTGCCTGTAATCCCAGCTACTCAGGAGGCTGAGGCAGGAGAATTGCCTGAACCCAGGAGGCGGAGGTTGCGGTGAGCCGAGATTGCGCCATTGCACTCCAGCCTGGGTAACAAAAGCAAAACTCCATCTCAAAAAAAAAAAATACAAAAATTATTTGGGTGTGGTAGCAAACACCTGTAGTCCCAGCTACTCGGGAGGCCTGAGATAGGAGAACTGCTTGAACCCAGGAGGCAGAAGCTGCAGTGAGCCGAGATCATGCCACTGCACTCCAGCCTGGGTGACAGAGTGAGACTCCATCTCAAAAAAAAAAATCTTAAGCTATTATGTCAAAACCAGTATGATTCCACAGGTGTTCCATATTTCAAACTTACATATTCTATTATGAGTAAAAGAAACGACACTGAACATACTTTCTGCTTTTCAGGAACATCCTCAAGTGCTATTTTCCTCTTATTTTGAGTGCCATCTCCAGTAGAAGATTCATCTTTTGGAATACCCTCAGTTTCTCTTTTTCTTTTCTCTGAATTGTCTTCATCATCACCATAATCTTTCTTCTCTGGGACAATTTCGGAATCAAGTTTTCTCCTCTTGGATGGAGTGTCTTCCCCACAACTAGAACTTTCCTTTACAAAATCATCTTCAAACACTTTTCTCTTTCTTGCTGTGTCTACTTGCCCACAGACAGGAGTCTTTTCAGAAAGCCCAGTCCCAGAAGCTGTTGTGTTTTCATTAACACTGAACGAAGACTCTGTTTCAGAATTTGCTGATGCTTTAGCCTGTTCAAGAGACATCTTTTCATATTCCTCTGCTTTTGTAGAATTCGCCATTATGATTACTTGAAATGATGGTGTAACTTCATGAACCAAAACTGGAATGGCAAAAAAAAAAAAATTATACTACTTGTAAACACTAATGCTAAGACTTTAAAACAATTTTAACTAGAATTTGACCAACTAGGAGTTTTGTTTTAAAAATCTCATTGTAGAGAGAATATTAAAAAATGTTAATCGATATGTATGAATTTCTGAATATGGTAGTACTAATTATAATCCCTCCAAAGTTCTACAATCTTACTCATAAAAGTCACTGTTGGCATTAAAGCTGACAAATGAAGTGGAGATACACATGCACTAGTTCCCTTTCTGTTCTGATCCTTACCCTATAACCCTGGTTCCCAAACTGCATGGTTGGCACCATAACAAACAGGCACCAAAGGACCTAACATGTGGAAGATAACCACAGAAACTACCAGGTTTAAGTACAGCACAGTTCCAATGACATAGGTTTTACATAGATTGTACTACATACCTTTCAGTGACTTTGTGAAGCTCAGACTTTGGTATCACAGAAATTCAAGGAGAAACAGGAAATGAGGTTGGTGGTGCCTAATCTGATTTCAAGGCTTGAAGTCGTACAGTACCCAATAGGTTCACACATCCTGTTAGCAAGGAATTGTGACTAATCAAGAATAAAACACAAACATTACCTTCTCCCCCAATTTATGTGTATTAATTTTTTAATAGACAGAAAGTTGTTAGAACATAAATACTTTTAAATTCTTTGGGGGTAAACAACTTAATAAATAGAACTGTTATATTTATTTTGGCTTATGGACACTAAAAGCAGCAAGAACAGAAAAAGTTTGGGATTCTACAGCAAGAACTTCTGAAACCATATTTCATAATGGGTGTCCCAAATAGGTTGAAAGTGGAGAGAAGAAATGGCTTTAGAAAAGTTTCAGGACTCAGCAAGCAGTTTGATGTCCATTAAGTCTCTTTCAAATATGTTCTTGGACCTACATAAGTGGGAAAGAGAGAAATAACTGAACTATCTATTGGGCAAGAATCATGGTGGTTCATTTATTAAGTCATTCAACAAATTTACTGACCTTCTACTACAGAGAAGCTCAATATAAATTATATTTTCAAGATGTTTATAGCGTATATACCACTATTAAAATGTTAAACTTTTGGCCAGGTGAAGTGGCTCACACCTATAATCCCAACACTTTGGCAGGGCGAGGTGGGCAGATCACGAGGTCAGGAGTTCAAAACCAGCCTGGCCAACACAGTGAAACCCAATCTCTACTAAAAATACAAAAAATTAGCCAGACATGATGGCGGGCACCTATAATCCCAGCTACTCAGGAGACTGAGGCAGGAAAATCACTTGAATCTGAGAGGCAGAGGTTGCAGTGAGCACAGATTGGGTGACAGCGTGAGACTCTGTCTTTAAAAAAAAAAAAAGTTAAGCTTTTGCTGGGCACAGTGGCTCACACTTGTAATCCCATCACTTTGGGGGGCCAAGGTGGGCAGACTGCTTGAGCTCTGGAGTTTGAGACCAGTCTGGGCAACATGGCAAAACCCCATCTCTACAAAAAATAGCTGGGCATGGTAGAACACGCCTTAGTCTCAGTTACTCAGGAGGCTGAAGGAGGAGGATCACCTGAGCCCAGGAAGTCCAGGCTTCGGTGAGCCGTGATTGTGCCACTGCACTCCAGCCTAGGCAACAAAGTGAGAACCCACATAAAAACAACAACAACAAAAAAAACAAAGCTTTGTCATGAAGGAAGTATTTGTGCTTAAAAAAAAAAAAAGCCTTCAGAATAAAGAAAAACAATAAAGTAAGTTGCTTAAAGGAATGGGTAACAAGTCACTATGAATGGGTAAGGGTTTCAAGGGTTACGAGCTTTCACTACCCACCATTTGAGGTAACAAAATACCAAGAGGTGCCAAATAGAACTGAATCAGAGAAGAACAACAAAAACAAATCAGAAAAGTAATTTTCAGAATAACTACTTAAAAAACATTATCTAGAAAAACCAGCTACCGCCTTATCAAATTCCTATTTCTCCTTCTCTGCCATTGATTTCCTAATACAAACTGGCTTTAAATTCAATTAAAGCGATGTGATTTACCTTTAGCTATCATTATTAACTAAACAGTATTGAGATTTAAGCATGAATTTTACTTATATCATCTACTTTTATGGTATCACAGATGTGACATCATAAAAACATAATCAATTAGATCAGAAGAAATGAATGACACAGCATTCCAGATGACCACAAAAATGAGTACGAATGTTTAAAACCAAGCATCACGTTTATAGCCAATTCATTTTCATCAAAGGTGCCAAGAACGTACATGGGGAAAAGACAGTCTCTTCAAGAAATGGTGCTGGGAAATCCAGACCAGTATCTCTCACCATATGAAAAAATCAAATCAAAATGAATTACAAACTTAAATTTAATACCCAAAACTATGAACTACTTGCAAAACAGTGTGGAAATGCTTCAAGACACTGGTCTGGGCGAAGATTTTCATGGTAAGACCTCAAAAGCACAGGCAACAAAAGCAAAAATTGACAAATGGGATTATATCAAGCTAAAAACTTCTGCACAGTGAAGGAAGCAACAGAGTGAAGAGATAATCTACAGTATGAGAGAAAATATCTGCAAAACCATTCATCTGATAGTGGATTCACAACCAGAATACAGAAGAAACTCAACTCAATAGCAGAAAAAAAGAAACAATCCTACTACAAATGGGAAAAAGATCTGAATGATATGACATACAGGCCAGGCATGGTGGCTCATGCCTGTAATCCCAGCACTTTGGGAGGCTGAGGCAGGTGGATCACATGGTCAGGAGTTTGAGACCAACCTGACCAACATGGTGAGACCTCGTCTCTACTAAAAATACAAAAGTTAACCAGGCGTGGTGGCACATGCCTGTAATCTCAGATACTCAGGAGGCTGAGGAAGGAGAATTGCTCGAAACCAGGAGGCAGAGGTTGCAGTGAGTGGAGATCACACCACTGCACTCCAGCCTGGGCAACAGACTGAGACTCCATCTCAAAAAAAAAAAAAAAAAGCTAACAGGTATATATTTTAAAAAATGCTCACAAGCACTAATATCAGGGAAATGCAAGTCAAAACCACAATGTGATACCATCTAATCTCAGTTAAAATGACTTTTATCAGAAAGATTTTTAAAAAATGGATGCTGAGACGGGCACAGTGTCTCACGCCTATAATACCAGCAATTCGGGAGGCTGAGATGGGCAGATCAATTGAGGTCAGGAGTTTGAAACCAGCCTGACCAACCTGGTGAAACCCCATCTCTACTAAAAATACAAAAATTAGCTGTGCGTCGTGGTCTGTGCTTGTAATCCCAGCAACTTAGGGGGCTGAGGCATGAGAATAGCTTGAACCTGGGAGGTGGAGTTTGTAGTGAGCCCAGATCAAGCCACTGCACTCCAGCCTGGACAACAGAGAGAGACTCTCTCTCAAAAAAACAAAGGGAAAAAAAAGGATGCTGGTGCGGATGCAGAAGAGGGGGAACACTTGTACAGTGTTAGTGGTAATGTAAATTAGCACAATCATTAATTTACATACTGGAAAAAGTATGGAGGTTCTTCAAAAAGCTATAAATAGAACTACTGTTATTTAGATGAGTTTCTTCTATATTCTGGTTGTTAATCCCCTGCGAGATGAATAGTTTTGCAAATTTGGGTACAAATCCAAAAGAAGGGAAATCAGTATATCTAAGAAACATCTGCAGTCTCAAGTTTATTCACAGTAGTCAAGATATGGAATCAACCTAAGTGTCCATCAACAAATTAATAAAGAAAAGGTGGCATATATACACAATGGAATATTAATCAGTCATTAAAAAGAATGAAATCCTGTCATTTGCAACGACATGGATGGAACTGGAGATCATTACGTTAAATGAAATAAGCCAGGTACATGAAGACAATACCATGTTGTCACTTATGTGGAAGCTAATAATGCGGACCTGATGATAGTAGAGAGGGGATTGGTGATTACCACAGACTGGGAAGTGTAGCAGGAAGAGGAAGATGAAGAAGATAAATTGGTTAATGGGTACAAAAACCCCAGAAGGAATAACATCTAGTGCCTGATAGCACAGTCAGGTGGACGTAGTTAACAGTAATTTATTGTATAGTTCAAAATACCTACAAGAAAAAATGGAATGTTCCCAACATAAAGAAAAAAATAAATGTTTGAGATGACAAATATCCTAATTGCCCTGATTTGGTCATTACAAATTGTATGCATGTAACAAAGTATCATCTCTATCCCCCAAATATCTGCAACTGCTATGTATCAATTTAACAACTGGGGGAAAAAACCCAAACCAAACTCAAAGTGAAATAATTAAAATACTCCAAAGGGAAGAGAGCTATCCCTCAGAATCCTCGAGGAGAAACCATTGAGAGGTGGTCGACTGACATCGATGGATATGCGATAAATAACCACATGGACATTTCGACGTGCCACAGTCACACCGCCGAAGCAAGCTATGTCCCTGCGTCATTTCAGTTCCTCAGGGTACGACAGAGCAGGCCGCCAGGGCCACCAGGATAAAGCTCAAGCAGGATAAGCCCTAAGCCCCGACCCGCCCGCTTGACTCAACCTCTAGTACCGGGCCTGAGAAGCGCGCAGAGGCGATAAAGAACTTCTCCAGCCAAGTTCACCCCCTCCGTCATTCGCGCGGCCTCTTACTCAACCTCTAGTTCACGTTTCCGAGGCGCAGCTCAAGACAAACCTGTGGACTCTCCACCCTTCCCCAGCACAGCCCTGGGCACGAGCTGGAGCAGCTCTTCGGACTTATTTTCCCACCCCGGGCTCGCTTGGTCTGTAGGATCAACAGCGCCCAACCACCCCAAAGAGTTCCCATTTTGCTTGGGACTGAGGGCACAAGGAAACAAACCCACGCGGCAGGTACTGAAGCACAGGGCTAAAGTGAAGTGACCCCATGTCAGGAGTGTGAGTGCCGCTTCCTCCTCCTCCACGGCTGCGGAGGGGTAAACACAAAGAAATGAAGGGCCGGCGTTCCAGCGGCCACACTCACCAGCACAGCCAAACGCGATTCTGTTTGCGGAAACGGCGGCTCGAGCCACGCGTGTCTTGTTACGTCACCTCCGGGAGTGCGAGCGTCACGTGGCGCCTTTCTGGCTAGAGTGCCCCGACGCACGTCCTCCGCGCTGGAACTACGAGTCCCGACGTGCCGCGCGCGGCAGGCAGAAGCTGCGCTGAGCGGGCGCGGGTGGTGGCGAGCACGTTGCTAGTGGGCGCGGTGGCGGGGCCGGGGGCGGTAGGGGGCGAGAGTCCGCCTGAGCCCCGCGGGTTCCGGCGCCTGGACCCACGCTCTGCCGGGTTGCTCTGCTGAGTGACACCACCGTGGCATCCAAGGAGCTGTTGTTCTCTAGCTTGCGCAGTGGGAAGCGGCGGCGGCGGCGGCCTCAGCGTCCTAAGAGGTAGCATGGGCCCCAGACCTCTGTGGGACAGCGGGAGGGGTCTAGAGGGCACCTTCAACCTGGGCGTGTGTCGGAGAGCTGACTCGCGGCGCTAACCTGGCAATTGCTCCGCGTGCGCCGCTCCTCGAGCTGTGGCGGTGTCCGCCCGCCAGACTAGGGTGGTCCTCAATGCCGACCCCACCGCCCGCGGCGGCCTAGAGAGGTCACTCCCGCCCATCCGGGTGGAGCCTGTGTCCTGGCTAATCTTGCTTTGGGACTGTTTTTCAGCCTCCTCCGCTGTAACCCTTCACCGTCTTCTCTTCCTTTTCTCTGGAGCCAGTTGAAGGGGGACCTGAAGTGCCCGGGGTCGGAGTGGTTTTAAAAATTAGTCATTTCTTACGAGGGACTGGTACATCGGTCCTTACCGCTGTATTTGGGAAGCCACAAGAGACCATTCCTGTTAGATTCTGAGAAAAGGGGCAATCTATACCTGTTTTTGAAAAATACGTAACGGTGCATTTGGCTGAACTTTGACATGGTGTGGTTTAGGGGAGACAACAGACTTTTTTTTTGGCCATCACCTCAGATTTCTACTGGGAAGTGAAAGTGCCTACTGTACTGAAACTCGAAAGCTTCATAGTTGAGGACTTTTAACTTGAGATTAGGGCCAAAACTACCTGTGGATAGATTATTGATGCGTGTACTTACTAATGTCGTGTCTCAACACGTCCCCACCTTAAGGGTGTAAAACAGTGATCAGATTTACAATCCGTCTTGAATTACTCTTTGCTAAAATTGATCCCTTTAAAACAGCTTTGACAATGTGCTTTACCAGCCTGCCTTCTTGTCAGTAGTCACAGGTATACTAATGAATAGACCTGGCTTGGGGGAAGTCAGCATTTGCAGCATGTACTTTCCAATCTGGTCACTTGTAAATTGTGGGCGTTAGCCCATGTGAGGTTGTTGACCCCTTACAAACTTTGAACCAAGAATGAGGCCCATTTTTCACAAATAAGGATGAGCCATCAATTTCAGATGACTGCTTGCGTTTATTATTATATGAAATGAGCTAGGTTGAGAGTTAATCTCATTTCATGAATATTGACAACTGCAAAGGAGTAGGTATTAGAGATCGAATCCATTATACACATATTCGAGCGTTAGAACCAGGCAATTAGGTTCCCTGGTTCTGATGGTTAAGTTTCTTGAGATAATTGCTATTGTAGTTTTACAGAAAATGAGTGTAATTTTGACTTTTAAAAACATGTTGTCATTAGATTAAAAGCCTCTTAACTACGTGTTTATGAAAACGCCATGGGATTGTGCATGTGATATATAGATATTATATTTTCAGTTTTTATAAAACACTAGAAGTCATGTAAATTCTGTTGAGAATAGAGGAAGGTTTCTTGAAAGTAGTTAGTGTAAGAAGTAAATGAGCCAGATAAAAATAATTTAAAAGTTACCATTGGTGTTATTTTTTCCCCATTATTATTACCTGAGTAATCTCTGGTTTTCTGGACATTAACATAATAGTAGCTAATACTTTAGTACCTTCTGTGTATTCTGTATGTGTGTCAAGCTTAGTACTTCATTCATTTGTACTCGTTTAATACTTTCTTTCTTTTTTTTTTTTTCTTTTTTTGAGATGGAGTGTCGCTCTGTTGCCCAGGCTGGAGTGCAATGGTGTGGTCTCAGCTCACTGCAACCTCCACTTCCTTGGCGTGTGTCAACCCTGGGGTTGAAGCAATTCTCCTTCCTCAGTCTCCTGAGTGTCTGGGAATACAGGTGCAAACCACCACGCCTGGCTAATTTTTGTATTTTTAGTAGAGACCAGGTTTCACCAGGTTGGTCAAACTGGTCTCTAACTCCTGACCGTGTGATCTGCCCACCTCCCAAAGTGCTGGGATTACAGGCATGAGCCACCGCTCAGGTCTTACTTCTTATGAGTGTTTTGTTTTACAGAAGAGGGTTAAGTAACTTGGCCAAGATGATGCAGATTTTAAGTAGTGGAATCAGGATTTGGATTCAGGCAGTCTGGCTGATTGGCCAGACTCTGCTAATAATGAAACAGTGCCGGCTAGAAGGTCATACTCAGAACTGGAAATTGTCTAGCAAATTCTAGATTTTCAGAAAGTGTTTTTTTTTTTTTTTTTTTTTTTTTTTGAGACGGAGTTTTGCTCTTGTTACCCAGGCTGGAGTGCAATGGCACGATCTTGGCTCACTGCAACCTCCGCCTCCTGGGTTCAGGCAATTCTCCTGCCTCAGCCTCCTGAGTAGCTGGGATTACAGGCATGCGCCACCATGCCCAGCTAATTTTTTTTTTTTTTTGTATTTTTAGTAGAGACAGGGTTTCACCATGTTGACCAGGATGGTCTCGATCTCTTGACCTTGGGATCCTACTGCCTCGGCCTCCCAAAGTGCTGGGATTACAGGCTTGAGCCACCTCCCCCGTCCCAGAAAGTGTTTTGATACTTCTTAATGCCTGGATTATCATGTCCAGAGATAGAATAGTTAGATAAGGATTATATTGCTGGAAGGTGAGCTCCACCAACACAAGGAAAGGACATGCAGGATTTATTTCAATCCATTTGTAAGAAGTGAGAGCACATCTCTTAGAGGTATAATTTTAAAGTGTGATTTCTGTTGTAGAATTGAAGATAATACTTTTGAAACATAAAGATTGTTTTGAAAATGTAGATACAATGTTGTAGTTTCCTAAGATAATATGTTGCGAAGGCAGGCAAGAGAGGTGTTTCATGGAAACTTTGTTTCTCTAAATAGTTTTGGAGGAAGGACTTCCTCTGTTCCACTTAGGAGAGTATTCCTGCTGAAATTTCATTGTCTTTCTGGAGCAAATAAAATATTCTTGTTTAAAGGGTTGTTCTTTCAGTTAAAAATAAGATTTTGTTGAGAAATCCAGAAGTGTGCTGTGTGTGATGATTAGTTTTATTATGTCAGTTTACCTATTTAATCAAATCTAATCTGCGTGATGCTGTGATAATATTCTGAAGATGTGGTTAACATCTATAATCAGTTGACCTGAACTAAAGAATATTACCCTAAATAATGTGGATGGGCCTCATTCAATCAATAGAAGGCTGAAAGAGCCAAAACTGAGGTGTCCTGAAGAAGACAGTATTTTCCTCAAGGCTACAGCATCAATCCCTGCCTGAGTTTGCTGTCTGTAGATCTACCCTACACATTTTGAAGTTGCTAGCTTCCACAATTGTGTGAGCCAGTTCCTTAAAATACCAATATCTCAGTATCTGTCTACATGTAGTTGTAGATATTTTTATTTTTATCTACATCTATATTTTTTTCCTATCAGTTCTGTATATCTGGAGAGCCCTGACTGATTCAAATTTGGGTGCTGAGATTGGGTCTAGTGAGCAGAATCTTAAGGATGAGTTTTCTGAATTGATTATAGTGTTTCTGGAATTGGTTTTCTAACATGATCAGATTTAAAGGCAATAATGAGTATTCCCAGTAGAAAAGAGGACTCTGATAGTCCATAGTGTGATATGGTAATAGAGATATGCACAAGATCACTATTGGAAACTCCCACTCATGCTTACAGACAACAAGATTCAGAGCAATCAGATATTTGGTACCTTAGAACATTTAAATCAAATCAGTGAGTATAATCTTGGCTGGTTGCTCTTAATTGTGCTGGATGAAGTGAGAAAAGAAAAGGATGATCCCAGTTACTGGGGAGACTAAGGCAGGAGAATCACTTGAACCCAGGAGATGGAGGTTGCAGTGAGCTGAGATCACACCACTGCGCTCACTCCAACCTGGATGATAGAGTGAAACTGTCTCAAAAGAAAGAAAGAAAAGAAGGGTGGGCTTCAGATTCCCAATTGAAGCTCCAAAAAAGTGACCTGAAAGTTTCTGTGTCTACCCTAAAACCCATTATCTCCTGTAGTTGCAGAGCTGAGGTTGGTGAAAACCAAACCCAGAGTCTCGTCCTGTAGGTGGCTGAATTACAGTGCAAACTGAATTCCCTTCCTCACCTTGGTCTGCTGTTAAAATGAGGGCATTGATTGGGAAAGAATGGGATCCTCAGATTTGGAATAGGGCCATATGGGAACATCCTGATGAAGCTGGGGATGTTGAACTCATAAATTTTTTTTTTTTTTTTTTGCCAGTAGAAGCAATTCTTTCACTTTTGAGGAGGTTAACCCTGCTTTGCCTGGTGAACCTGTAATAGCCTCCCCTTGAGGTAGCTACCTTGCAAGACATTGCTGGTTCTCCTCAGGTGTCCATGAAGAGTTCTGGGATTGCTCTTCTCTGCAGATCTGAGATCGCAGTATGAGCTGCTGCCACTGACTGGGGTCCTTAACTGCAGCAGGGATGGTTGGATCCCGGATGGCAGGGACCAGTGATACCAAAGACTAAGTGGGCGTGTTGCCATCATGGGGTACAGTGGAGTCAAAGCAACAGTCTGAACAGTCTGACTCAAGAGTCGTACAGCATTGGGTAGGTAGTCATGGGTCTGTAGAAGAGAATTTGATGGGCAGTCTACTGAATTCTGAAGTAATCTGTATAAGCAGAAGAGTTACAGGTCAAGTGAATGGAAGCCTTACTTGAATTACCAAAAGAAAGAGTTATGGTCCCTCAATCAATTCCAAGATTTGAGTCATTTTACAGTCCTAGAACTCCTTGAATGAGGGGAGGCTGGATCCTTTTGAGGAAAGACCCCATTGTACTGCCAAGAATTTATACTGTTAATTTTTTTCCCCAACTTTTCCCAAAAGGACCTATGGTTTATCAGGGTAAGTGTGCATTGGAGAAAAAGAAATAATCGGATTTCTCATGGATTACTGAACACTTATCTCTGAACTGACACTAATTCCAGGACACTCAAAGTGTCAGTAGGGGCTTGTTGAGGTTAGGTGGTCAATGGAAGTTTAACCCAGGTCCTCCTCACAGTGGGTCCCCACATTCATCTTGTGGTTACTTCCCCAGTTCCAGAATGAATAACTGGTATAGACATACTCAACAACTGGCAGAATCCCTGCACTGGTTCCTGACCTGTGGAGTGAGGGCTATTGCGGTAGGAAAGGCCAAGTAGAAGCCACTAGAGCTGCCTCTTCCTGGAATAATAGTAAGCCAAAATCAATACCACATTTCCGGAGGAATTGCAGAGATTAGTGCACTTAAGGATGCAGGGATGGTGATTCTTGACATATTCCCATTCAACTCTCCCATTTGGCCTGTGCAGAAAACAAATTGATCTTGGAACATGACAGTGAATTATCATAAACTTAACTGAGTGTGACTAATTGCAGCTTTTGTTCCAGATGTCATTTCATTGCTTGAGAACCTATCCCCAGTAGCTGGCATGCAGTTTTGATCTGCTAAATGTTTTTCTTAGTAAGTATCTATTAGTAAAGATCACCAAAAGCACTTTTCCTTTCTTTTCTTTTCTTTTTTTTTGAGACAGAGTATCACTCTGTCACCTAGGCTGGAGTGCAGTGGCGCGATCTCACTGCAACCTCCGCCTCCCAGGTTCAAGCAATTCTCCTGCCTCAGCCTCCTGAGTAGCTGGGATTACAGGCGTACACCACCACACCCAGCTAATTTTTCTATTTTTAGTAGAGATGGGGTTTCACCATGTTGGTCAGGCTGGTCTTAAACCCTTAGCCTCATGATCTGCCAGCCTCAGCCTCCCAAAGTGCTGGGATTACAGGTGTGAGCCACCATGCCTGGTCAGGCAGTGTTCTTTCAACTGACAAAGCCAGAAATACACCTTCACTGTCCTACCTTGGGGATATCAACTCTCCAACTCTGTGTTGTAATTTAGATCATAGGGATCTTGTTATGAGTTGAATTATGTCTTCTAGAAACTCATATATTGGAATCCTAACCCTCAGTACCTCAGGATATGACCTTATTTGGGAATAGGGTAGTTACAAATGTAATTAGATAAGATGAGGTCATACTGGAGTAGGCTGGGCCCCTAATCCAGCACGACTGGTGTTCTTAAAAAAGGAGAAATTTGAACACAGATATTCACACAGGGAGAATGCCATGTGAAATTGAAGTAGAGGAACACCGAGAAATGTCAAACATTTTCAGTAAACCATCAGGAGCAAGCGAGGAGGCATGAAATTCTTCCTCACTGCCCCTGAAGGAACCAACCTGACACCTTGATCTTGGACTTCTAATCCCAGAGCTGGAGACAGTACATTTCTGTTGCGTAAGCTCTTCAGTTTGTGGTTCTCTATTACAGCAGCTGCAGCAAACAAATAGAGACCCCGATCGCCCTTCCCTTCCACAGGACATCATAGTGGCCCATCACATTGATGACATTATGCTGATTGGACCTGGTGGGCAAGAAGGAACAACTACTCTAGACTTACTGGTAAGACATTTGTGTGTCAGAGTGGGAAATAATTCCAACAAATATTTAGGGCCTTCCACCTCAGTGAAATGTCCAGGGGTCCACTGGTGTGGTGTAGGGCATGTTACCACCTACAACAAAAAGAGAGAAGCAAGATCTAGTGGTCCTCTTTGGATTTTGGAAGTGACAAATTACTCATTTGGGTGTGCTATTTCAGCTTGTTTACTGAGTGACTTGAAATGCTGCTACTTTTGAGTGGATCCCAGAACAAAAGGCAACTCTGCAACAGATCCAGGCTGTTGTGCAAATTGCTCTGCCACTCAGGCCATATGACCCAGCAGAGCTTATGGTGCTTGAAATGTCAGAGGCAGATTGAAATGCTATATGAAACCTTTGGCAGGCCCTATAGGAGAAAATTATATAGTGTAGATCCTTAGGATTTTGGAGCAAAGCTTTTCCAACCTTTGCAGGTAACCGCTCTTGTATTAAGAAACAGCTTTTGGGCTTGCTACTGGGCTTAGTAGAAACTGTACACTTAACCATGGGCCACCAAGTCATGCAACTGACTAAAAAAATGACTGGAGTATTTCAGCAGTTAAGAGCAGAAGCTGATGGCATGTGTTCAAATCCTGGTTATGTTATATTTCCTAACTGTGTCATCCTTGAGTAAATGACCAAAATTTGTGTTTTAATTTTCTCACGGAGTGATTTTGTAGAATAAATGAGATGATACAGTGCTTAGCCCAGAACCTGCTCATTTTTAGCTTCTCTTAATACAACTGAAACTGCTAATACAGTGTCATGTGAAGTCATTAGTCCATGTCTTTAAGTGTGATTGTAGAATTTTTTTGTCTTGGTACAGCAGAAAAAATAGAGTGATTTTTTTGAATTCATGTAAACCAGAGCAGAAGTTTGAAATAGTGAACAGTCTTGTAGGCATTATGTGCTTTCAAGTTCTGAGTTTATTACTTCTGAGAATTAACCATGGTAGCAGTGGTCTACAACTTCTGTGGGTGAAAGGGTAGCTGGGCTTTAAGCATGTGCAGCAGTGGACAAAGAATGGAGGTGAGGGAAGAAGCATCAGAGATTAGGAAGGGGTACTCCCGGAGAAAGAGGAGGTGGGTGGTTCAGATTTTGTGATGCCAATGGCAAGATGAATCCTTTTGGAAAGTCTCATTGATAACCAAAAATTATTTTCAAGGCAGACTTCAAAATTAGGGCTTCCCCATTTTTACCTACTTCTTCTACATTGCCTTTGTAACTTATTGGACTTGATAAATTGAATTAAAATAGTATTTTATTTGGAGTCCTTGATTTTTTAACCTAAGCATGGATTATAGTAACTCTTCCTTGCTATTCGAAATACTGAAATTCTTGTTATAGTTTGAGCTGCTAAGTAATTTGAGTCATTTGTTAAAATTAGAAGAATTAGATAAACAGTGATGGGCTTGCAATGTAGTGTTTGCCAAATGAATGTCATCTATAATGTTAAGAAAAGGTTTATTTGTATGGCACACCATGTAAAATAAAGCAGACCTATTTCAAGTTCTAAATGCAAGTTTTTATTTTTCTTGCCATATTCATCACTGTAAATGCAAGATTTTAAAAAGACATATTTTAAAATTGGACCCAGAATACAAGTGCTCTCTTTATTACAACATGGCTTCTGGTACTCTGATGATCAAATCACATTTTCTGAAATATATTTGATAACAGTAAACACTGACAAAACTAGTTAACCCCACAGAGAAGGTTACGAGTATTTTTCACCAAAGCCAAGGTGAAACAGATGCTATTGCAGTTTACTTGGTATAAAATATATGTATAATTTCTCATATGTCCTTTTTTGATTTAACAAACATAGGCATTATTTTCTTTATCAAGTAAATTCCTATTGCTGAGCATGCTTTAGTTAGTAACAATAAATTTGTGTTAAACCTGATTTTTCAGTGTAGGAGATAGAAATGAAATTTATAGGTAGGCTCTCAATCCTTTATTTTCAGGGAAAAGACAATTTATACACATGAGCAATTTGTGGAGATGTGGGAAATCCATTAGTCTAGCAGTTCTTTTCTCTCTCTCTCTCCCTCCCCCACACACATCTCTTTTTTCCCCCCAGTAATCCAGGAACAAGTTATGAACTATTACATGTCCTTGCATTCCTTATCTGTAAACATAAAGGATGGTACTAAGGGGCCTCTCAGTTTTCTTTCAAGTCTAGACAACTGTGACTAAACCTAAGGTTGCCCTTTTATACAGTTGTACTCAGGGTCTGTATAGCCTGCCATTTTTGTAGTCCCTGTAACAAAGACTTTGAGAAGATGAAAATAATCCTGACTCATGCCATGGTTGGGAAGATTTCCAAAGGAGAGTAGGCTTGTGTTTTCCATTGCTGTGTAACAGATTACCCCCAAATTTAGCAGCTTAACACAGGTTTATTATCTCAGCTTTTCTGGGTCAGGAATATGGGCACATCTTAGCTGGTTTGCTGCTTAGCATCTCAAAGTGTCAGTCAGGCTACAATCTCATCTGGAGATTCAACTATGGAAGAATCTTTTTGCAAACTCATTCCGGTTGTAGGCAGAGTTCATCTTTTGGCCTACATGAGTGAGGGTGCCATCTTGTTCCTGTTGACTGGTGGCCTCCCTCAGGAACTAGAGGCTGTTCCCTGTATGCGTCCCTGTCCATAGGCAGTTCATTATATGGCGCTCTGTTTCCTCGAGGCCAGCAGGAGGGAGACTCTTTCTCCAGTCTGCTGAGATGGAGTCCTTTCTATCTTTTCTACTGTTTAGTGCTTAGAAGTAAGTGACAGGTTCCACCCACACTCAAGGGGAGAAGATTCTACAATGATGTAGCTCACTAGGGTTCACCTTGGGTTGTGTCCCAAGACTATTTCTGCATTGACATTGTGGCATGCCTGTACATTATTGTGCTTATTTAACAAAGAAATCTATGACATTACTTTTTTTTCTCCCTCTTTTCAAAATTAAGGTGCTTTCTGATTGCCTAGATTTCAACTAAATGCAAGTTCAATTTTTAATTGCTTTGGGATTTTTGGTTTCAGGCTTTAACGGGAGAAGAAAATCTCCATTGAAACCTCCTTCTGCTCTTTTAAGCACCCAGAAGGGAGGAAGAGTGCTGATCTGACAAGCCAGGCTCCAGGACAGGAATAGTCATGTGTGGCTTAACAATGGGGATGCATTCTGAGAAATGCATCATTAGGCAGTGTTATCATTGTGTGAACATCACAGAGTGTATTTACACAAACCTAGATAGTAGAGCCTCCTACACACCTAAGCTATATGGTATAGCCTGTTGTCCCAGGCTACAAACGTATATGGCATGTAATTGTACTGAATAGTGTAGCAGTTGTAGCACAGTGGTAAGTACTTGTGTATCCAAACATAGAAAACATATAGAAAAATATGGTATTATAATCTTATGGGACTGTCACCATATATGCAGTGTGTCATTGATGGAAATGTCATTATGGGGCACATGACTGTATATGGTTTTGTTTTCTAGTGACTGGAGTCTTGTAAATATACAAAAGCTTTTCATGGGAATAAAAGCTTTAGTTCCTTTTCTTTTGGTTCTGATGAGTGATTTTCTTGCCATTGGAGTGATATGTTGGGATTCTAATTGGGTGTTGGGTTGGGAATGAAAGAGTGGAGTAAGGGCTGGAAAGATCTCATTATTGTCTGGCTTAGTTTACTACAGTTGTGCATTGACACAGACACATTGTATGTGATTGACAAGTATTAGTTCTTATAAGAAGAAGGCATTGGACCTTTGAAAAGAGATAAGGTGTGCAATAAGAGAGTTGGAAGTAAATGGAGTAGGGAAGTTAGTAGGTATGAGTTTAAGTTGAGATCAGTCGGCATGGTTTATTTTCTTATCCAGCTTACACACAGGTGTCAGATTGGATTTGACACAATTAGGGTTCAGCCAAACTAATGTGATAAAGACAGAGCAGCCTAGATTTGGGGGTATATGCAGAGAGTAATTATGAATGATAGACTTACTTTTGTGGACTGAATGTTTGTCCCTCCCAAAATTCCTGTCTTGAAGCCCTAATCCCCAGTGTGATGGTATTAGGATGTGGAGCCTTTGGAGGGTAACTAGGTGATATGGTTAGGCTTTGTGTCCCCACCCAAATCTCATCCTGAATTATAATCCTCATAATCCCCATGTGTCAAGGGAGAGACCAGGTGGAGGTAATTGAATTATGGGGGCAGTTTCTCCTGTGCTGATCTCATGGTAGTGAGTTCTCATGAGCTCTGATGTTTTATAAGGAGCTCTTTCCCCTTTCACTAAGCACTTCCTGCTACCTTGTGAAGAGGTGCCTTGCTTTCCCTTTGCCTTCTGCCATGATTGAAGTTTCCTGGGGCCTCCCCTAGCCATGCTGAACTCTGAGTCAATTAGACTCTTAAATCAGCTTTGTCCTAACACAGGCTGGCTCCCTGTGTTAGCTCATTCTCACACTGCTATAAAAATACTACCTGAGACAGGGTAATTTATAAACAAAAGGGAGTTAATGAGTCACAGTTTGGCATGGCTAGAGAGGCCTCAGGAAACTTACAGTGGAAGGCAAAGGGGAAGCGGGCACTTTCTTCACAAGGCAGCAGGAGGCGGCGAGAGGGCGCAGGGGAAACTGCCATTTTAAAAACCATCAGATCTTCTTGAGAATTCCCTGTCACAAGATAAGCAAGAGGGAAACCACCCCCCGATCCAGTTGCTCCCACCAGGTCCCTTGCTCAACATGTAGGGATTACAATTTGCAATGATATTTGAGTGGGGACACAGAGCCAAATCATGTCACTTCATTCAAGGTTGCAGCATGGCTGCTAGAACCCCCAGAATCTGTATGCTGTGTTCCTTTCTCACCCCCAGTTTAGAAGAGAGAATTAGGTCCCCAAACCATAAAATATAAGTTCTCCTCAAAATTCTTGGACTCCCATGAGTCACATGCCCACCCCTGGACCAACAGTCAGCCAGCCACACAATGCTATGAGCCCTAT